GTCCCTTGTAAGTTGTATTCTCCCCAGGCACGACCCCATTCAGGAATGAAGGGCCATGGAAGGATCACAGCGATGCACAACTCTATCTGGGGGCCTGTCTAGATGCCGAGGGCAATACAGCCTTATTGGTTGCCACACCCAGTCAGAGATTTTAACTTGGCTATTGTGTTAAGTGTTAGCTTCCAATAACATAAGGCCCACATTGACAATCTTTGTAGTTTGCACGCTGATGCCAATCGCATTCGCATGTTCCGCCTCCACTGTTTTTGAGAGCGCAATGGACTAGGAGCACATTAGAGCTAGAAGGGCTCAAGACGGTTCAAGAAAGTTTGAACTGTTCAACGTTCGGCTCATGACTGTACTCTCTCATTGTACGTTTTACTGTTATCATGCCATACTCAAGATGTGCAGCAGCCAATGAGATTGTCTCTACACCACCATCAGGGCCGGCAGGCAAGGGCCTTCCCACCGCGATCCCCTTTCCACAGAGACGCATCAAACGAGTCAGGTCACTCTGACAGTGAGACACTTCAGGGGGTGCCCCTTTTTATGCTACAAGTTGGCATTTCATGCCAGTAGTACTGGCGGGTTCTGCAAATAGCTCCCGGCTCCCGGGCCTTGATGCTACCAACAGCAGTAGCTGAGACGGAAGCGCGCAGATGCACCTCAGGAGACGTGTGACGACATGTTTTGAAGCATCAGAGTTGTCGCAAGCTGCTACGCGCAAGAAAGCTTGGACTCCAACGCAGCATTCCTCCATTGCATCAAATGTCCAGGAAATGTAGCCACCAACCAAATGCCAGGACCTGGGGTAGGCATCTATCTTCTATAGCATTGTAAGCACCTCATGCTCTGTTTCAACTCGCCTGTGGTTACATGCTGTCGCTGCTGTGCCTGCGGTTGCGATGAAGATCTGGAAGCGATAGGCAAGGCATGGCAAATGGCAAAGCCCCTCGAAGCCCCAATAAACCCGAAAAATCTGCAGAAACCGAAAAAACTGCTTTGCTGTCGTCGTGGGCGGCCCTTGGCGGCGGGCGGCGATATCTGTGCATTCTAAAATTTGGAATGCTGGGTATTGCATGTGGGGTCGTATACTCCCGTTTCAACAAGGCGATGTTGTGAAAGATCGTTGTTTGTATCTTGTGCCAGTCAAATTCGCGATTCGCGTGGAGTTTGGCACATTCTGCTGCGCACTTGTTCACCAGACGCGAGTTTTGGGGCTTTTGCAGAAATCCCTAAACCCTAAACCCCATTGTCTGGGGTCCAGGGGCTCCAGGAGCTCCATCACACAGCCTTGGTGACTGCTGCTGCCACCAGCTCCGCTGCTTTCTCGGCGCTGATCACAGCCTTGGCCTCCCATCGGGGTTCAGCCACCATGCGTCCGATGTTATCTATATGTACTCATGTAATCTTTTGGGATCCAAGAAACAATCTATATGGAATCTGTATGTAATCTATATGTAAGCTGTATGTAGTCTATACATAATCGATATGTCATCTATATAGCTTGCCTCTTGTGATTCAAGCATCCTATCCATTCACATTTCGGGTGAAGGCCATGACAGATCATCTTGCGCAGCCCTGAGAGTGCGAGGCTGTCAGTGCCATGCTACGTACCTCTTCTCCGAGCAAGGTTCAACACTTGTTCTTTGGGTGACACTGAATCGACTACCACTTGCGGGCCGACAGGACTTACACTTAATGCCCAGCGATCGTCAAGCAAACTTACCTCAAGAATCTTGGCCTCCATTGACTTGCGTGGGCTCTGTTCTCAGGAGTCTGGGACAGGCTAGGTGTATCCCAGCGGCCTTGTCTTGGATAAGGTCCAGGATACCTGGAGCATGCGAACACTCCGAAAAACGAGAACTCGGATCATTGCCCACTCAAACCTTCAGTTCAAGTGATCTGGCAAGGCTAGTTCCGACTGAGTGGCGCTGGAAGCACTTCACCTGGCGTCACAAACCGAAAATGCAGCTCCTAGCGTCGGCAGGAACTTCCAGACACACGCGCAGGATCCAAAGGAGCTAGCGTTTTGTGATAAGCAATTTCATTTACGGACTCCAAGCTTAAGGGTGGTTCGAACAAATTCAGTCAAAATTGATGTATTGAACTTATGCTCTTGGCGTTCTGGATCACAATACCAAACCCAGAGCGGAGCTGATATTAGTTGGCTCCGCTGCGCGTGTCGACTCTGTAGGCTACGCTGAAAGGCGTTTTGAAAAATGAAAACGTATTGGAGGCATGTTACAGAAAGGTCTGGAAGCTCCGCTGCGTGCTTGGGGGCTGATGTGTGCACCCGCCTCTACACGGGGTTTACGTTAAAGGCATTTTCAGGTTTGCTTCTTGAAGGCCCCTTCTCACCAAACCATATCTAGGATGCTTGGGATTTGTCATTGTGCAAGATAACATCACTTACCCCAAAAGAAACCTCAGGGGGGGCCTTGTGTGCTACTCGCACATAGCTTTACGCACGTCGTTGAATACATGAACTGCGACTTGCTATTTATGATTTATTTTGAAGCTTTCAGAATTTCAATGCCTCAAAACCCCAGATTCAGACATGAACGATTCACCCAACATTCTCTGTGATCGACCTTCAGTCTTCGATCAAGTTCGAAACTTGTCGTGTCTGGCAAAAGAAGCTTGATTTCAATGGGATACAGATACTTCTGGTGCGTGCGCGTGCGATGTGTGTATATACGTACATGTATACATATGCATATACGAATATGTATCTGTACAGACAGTAATAAAAAACCTACATGAGTGTAGCTACCGTTGCCTGGCCCTGTCAGTCTCCCTTCATCTGTGCAGCCTTGTCATGGCCCTCGAAGACCAATTTCTTGCCGTTCGCTGCCATGGCTTGCCGCCCTGCGTCATCCAAGGCAGCAATCCTCAGGAATAAAGCAGGAGAATGTTTTAGTCCAAGAGGAGGCACACCGAAGCACACCAAAACACATCCAAAAGAACCAGGGGCACACCAAAAGGAAACAAATCAATGTGCACAAGTTGCATCACAACGCAATAACCAAACACACGTGCTAAGTGCAACACATGTTTAGCTGGCACCTACTCTACCCCGTTCGGCCAAGGTGTTACTTGGCCGTGCCGCTTTAGCTTCGAGGGCACAACTGTCCGGGAGGTTGACAGGGGCATGGCCACTGTGTTCGAGTTCAGGCGGTAAAACTCACCGACACAAAGAAACGCAAGATAATGACCAGAAAAGGAGCAAGCCGGGCACCAACATACCATAACGCCACCGCAAACAAGCAAAAGCGCGGTATGTCACAGCATGTCAAACATTTCCATCATTTGAGATTTCAAAATTTAGGCGGCCTTGTGACAACAAAGATCTGCCGCAACCCCGGTTGCTCTCCACGTCCGATCGCATGCATCGCGTGAAGCAACGTTCTCACGCAGGTCGCAGATCCCGTTTATTCCAATTTGGCCAAAGCGGTTGCTCCAGGTATTAGATGTCATGCCACCTAAGCATGCCTTCAAAGCACTTGTGCATCCTCGCACATCTGATTCATTTTTCCTTCATGCCCAGCAGCCTTCATGGCTCAGGTGATGCTTTAGATTGGCCAACATTGCTTTGAATATCCGGCTCGGGCACGTTTGGGTGACCAAAGAAGCGTGAGGCTTGAAGCAGCAAGCGGCGTTGGACATGATAGTGCGCTATGCCATGCTTTGACTTGGCGATGAGCTACCTAAGGGGCTGAGCTTTAAAGTTTTGATAGATGGGAAGCGCCAACTCAAAGAATGGCCCCACCACTGTGTCAGTATGCATGAATGCTCGAACTTGCACGGTGCCACAGAGGTCCTGCAGACGGTGCAGCCCTAAAGCTTCAAAGGCTCATCATCTTGGTGCGCGTGCCGTTGTGCCCTCTGCGTGCTCCGCAGCTGTTTTGGGGGCTCGTCCTTTCGTGGTGCTCAGATTGGGCTAGGCCAAAAAAGCGGTTTGGGAGCCTAAAATTCAGGCGTTCTCACACGAATGGTTCGTGTCCCCGTGGCAGTGGTCTTTCATTAACTTTAGCCAGTGCGATTCGGAGATGCTTCAACTTCGGTGGTACGATCTGATCCCGAATCAAACGAAATACTAAATTAAATGATGGTGAGCTCAACTCGCCGAGAGTCTTGGCGATGGCCTCAGCACAGCCTTCGGCCATAGCATCCCAGGTGGCCTCATCCTCCACCTGCGAGCTTGTGATAGCTTGTGCACTTCGCGGTCACCAAGTTAAGTCCGAACCTGAATCAACCACTGCTTCCGCTTGCCTTCCCGGCTTCGAAGCAGTAGCCCGTCTCCCCGTCAACTACCACCTCGGGCATGCCATAGATTCGCGAGGCCACGCATGGCTTCTCCATTGCCAGAGCTTCCAAGAGGGCATTCGGAAGCCCTTGCGCCATCAGGGCAACATCATGTGACATCATGTGGCAGAATTGAAAGAACTGACATGCATATGCTTACCATCCGGTTTCGGGCATTTTGTGTCACGTGGTTTCACTCCAGCCCGGGCAAGGAAGAAGCGCATGTCTCCGGCCTTCCAAGAAGGATGCCAAGGCAATGCAGTCGCAAGCCTCGAAGACGTAGAAGGGCTCCTGATGTCTCTGTTCCACTCGGGTGCTCGATTCTGCACCAACCGGGCTATTCCCCACCCTCGGTTGCATTGCAAGGCCCAAGTCAGAGCATTGATCCAAGACGCTCTGGCGATTGAAGTCCCGGCTACAGTAACATGCATAAGGGTAGACAAGAACAACTGGTAAACTGCATCGGGATTCCCGCACAAACATACACACGGACCAGTCCAAACCTCCGTGACAAACTTTAAAATACCGGTGCGCTGGTGCCTCTCCTTCGTAAAGGGGTAGATGGACACCGCTGAGGACAAGCCTAAATCGACTACCATCTTCTCGATGTCTTCCTTGAGGTCACCTGGACACACACTTTTTGCAGGCATTTCCCCGCACTCAGATCTCTTGGCATGAAGAAGAAAACTGGACACTCGAGTAAATGCAGTGTGTGGGCCATCCCAGCAGGGAGCAGATTCTCATATGGCTGCGTGCTGAAACACAGCCACGTGCAACACACATCTTGAGACCTCATGCTTACTTCCATTCTTAGTTGTTGACTGTTTACGCTTGATCCTAGTCAAGGGGGAGGAAGGAGAGGCCGGAACCAACTCATGAATAAGTGGTCGATGCGAAGCCGGAGGCCTTCGCCAACCATCAGGACCTGCCGAACGGATGGGGCATTGCACCCTGGACATAGGCAGCTGATTTCGCAGTCTCAACTTTCAATACTATGATTCGCAGCTTTAGCAAAACAAGAGCCCAAGTATCGGGTCATGATAACAATTCCGAAGGCCAAGGCGCGTGGACATTGGGCACCTTTCCTGTGTCCACAAGCTTCTTCACCGCGCGGAGCCTAGCTGGACAAGTAACCACTTCCAACCCGAAAGCCTTAAGCAAACACCCACCATGATCCCTCAAGTCTGGAACTTTTTCGGCAACACGGGATGCTCTCGCAAGCGACGTAGTACGCTTGACGCACTTGACTTGCCTTGAAGAGACCGCTGACTGCCGTGCAGAGCTTTGGCCGAGCAAGATTCAGGATGTGTCTTGAACTGTTTGTGGGGTCCAGCTTCGCGGTGACAACCCCAAACCGAAAATGGCACGATGCATTGGGCTACGTCAACATTTTGCTTTCCGGACGTGGGGCATGAAAGGCTTTACACCACAACAGATGCACGTGCAGAGTCTGTTGTGCCAGCGGACTGCGTTGTGATCCGTCTTATCAGAGAAGCCGAGATTCAGGACCTTCTGCCCTTTGGCTGCGACGAATCGGCCGATGCTGCCCACCACAAACTTGCCCTCCTGCGCTCGAATGACAGGCTAAGGAGCTTGCGGAGCCCCATTCGGAGTGCTTTCGGCCTCCTTTCTTCAGCTCTTAGGAAATAGCTCAGCGACAGCCTACTTAAATACCTATGAGCCCATGACAGTTGTGCTGTTTGGCGTGCAGAAAATCTTGGAGCCCTGGGTGCCGCCCACGGGGGTGGCTGTGAAAGCTTCTCTCACTGACAGCACGCAGCCGCCAGCCCATAAGTCTGTGAGCATTGTTGGCATCGGGTGACGCTGAAAGAGGCCCTTTAACACATGATGCGCCATGACACTCATGCAACAAACTTCAACGTTTTTTGGGAAGTCCACCCCCATCCTCGATGGGATACCTCTTTTTGGCCTCGACTGCCATCTCGGGTGTTCGCTTGAACTTCTCTGTGTCTGTGCCGTTGTAGATGGTCCTGGGCATGGGCGACATGAGTGAGCAGGAGCTTCCTCAAAGTTTAGCCCATGCCACACTCACAGGGTCTTGAGGCCCCCAATTCAACCTCCAGATTAAACCTACGAGCTTGAGAGGAGCAGGACCTTCAGTTCGATCCGGGGCACTACTCCCCCCTGCATACCTTACAAATCTGGGCGTTGCATCGGGTTCACTTACTCCCTTAAGATCAAGATGTCACACTGCCATGGTGCTGAATGAACTGCGGCTTGATGCCAAAGGCCTCATGTGTTCAAAGCCATGATGGCACATGGCTTCAATCCCATCACAACAGAAAGGACACCGTTCTCTGATTGGCATGCGGGATTGGAAGTGCATGCAAGCATTCTCTGAGCAGAGCTCTGAGCCACCCATTCTCATTAAAAATGGTCCAACCAATGCAAAAATACTCAGGTGCCTCGATGATGGACTGTCGGGTAAACTCGGCGATGGTCACGGTGCAGCACTGTGGGGGCTCCGTCCTGAGACCATGGGCTAGTCTCTGCTGGAGCCAGAACTTATCATATGCCTGGTGATGCGTCAGTGAGAATTAGAAAAAAGATACTCATAATCGTAGACCCAGGTGTGTCAGGTCTCTCCAGAAGATCACCACCGTAGAACTCCTTCTTGTAGGTGGGATCGAACGTGCCGGTCTTGGAGATAAGGAACGTCTTTAAGCCAGCCTTTTCCAGAGGAACTTCTTGTTTTACCGTCTTGAGCTGCCCTCACCCCGTGAGGTGTGTGGAGGTGTGGAGGTGTGGAGGTGTGGAGGTGTGGATGTGTGGATGTGTGTGTGTGTGTGTGTGTGTGTGTGTGTGTGTGTGTGTGTGTGTGTGTCTCTCTCTGTGTGTGTGTTTGCGTACTTGAACTTGCGTCAGTGGTTGGCAGGGGCCGATAAAGAAACAGACAAACAATGACAAAAGACGGCGCTTCGCCGTGCATCCAGGCAGCATCTTTGATGCACTTGGCCTCAGGTTCACTCTGCAGATGTGCTTTCCTTTCAAAACCGGACGGATGTAGATGAAGATGCTCATGCTTGGTTCAAACTACAGGCCAGACCTGAACAGTCAACCTGCCCTCTGCACTCAATACGTGGAGTCTTGCAGTCTTGCCTTGCCAAACAATCCAGCTCAATACAGGCAGTTACTTCCGTCTTCCATCTCCAAGCAAGGGGCCATGAAACTTACGTTTTGATAATTCTTGCGAATCTGCCGCACCAGAGTGACACACACCTGGCCAGGGCACTTTCACGTGTACAATGGATCAACACTACTCGAGTGGAATTTGGAACCCACCCTCATACAATCTTCGATTGATTTTCGAAACACCACCCCAATCTGCGATTGATTCCCAACATCCACCGATTGACTTGCAAAAAGCTTCTGACCATCAACGTTCGGTTGATCTTGCCTGCGATCTCGGATGCTGGGGTAGGGTAGGCAAAGACAATCAGAACTAGGTTCTCAATGCAAACCCACAAAGTCAGAGTTGCCATGCATCTGTGCAATCGCGAAAGACGCACACGCCATCCACAAATGCCGGGCCTGTGCCGGCTTCAACACCTCTGTGAAGGCTTCCTGGTAACTCCCGGGATCCTGGGAGAGCGAGCACGCAAAAGAGCCTGTATGCTTGTCAAGAATGTGAAGAAGACCCTGGTTTCAGGGGCTTTAAGTTTGTTTTCCCCAACTCAATCACTGTTTTTCTCTTGACAGAAACTGCGCTCCCCCCTCCTCTAAGCTCTAAACTTCTGCCTGAGCCTAGGCCTCTTCCCCGTGCCCTGACATGACAATGATGACAACCACAGGGCCGTCAAATTCACATTCTACATGGGCATGCATGGGCGTTCTCTGCATGATGCGTGGGGATAGGGCCGAAACGAGGAAGGCGTTTTCGATTCGGAAGTATTTCTACTAGACACTTGCATCCACCGTAGAAATGTGGAAGTCTGTGCCCGGGCACATGCGCGCATGCACACCCACAGCCTATGCCCTCAACAGCGCCTCGGCACTCTTTTCGTGGGTGTACTTCACTATCGTCTTGGCGTAACCTTCCACATCTGGAAGGATCAGAGAATCCTGCATGTGAAAGGGGCCAGCACGGCTACCTTCAAACTTACCGTGTGGTAGTGGAGGGTCCACACGACCCTGAAACTACAATATGTGCTGTGATGCTTTCTAGCATCGGCTCAGGCATCCTGTAGCTAGAGTATGCTCGATGCGTTTTCGAACTGTCAGGGGCTGTCTGTTCCATGCACTTCCTGTTATCCCGTGCGCGAGCCTCTGGCAGGATGAAGGTGATGTGGTGCCCGACTTCAGACAAGCGCTTGCCGCAATCGGCCAGCCAAATCTGGGCACCCCCACGCATGGTAAGGTCCTAGCGAGAAAAGGGAACGCCGTCTCGGAACCCTCAAATTTCGAGTCTTTCGAGGTGTTTTTGTCTTCGCGCAACCCATGTGAATTTGTTTCTCTACAAGGCTTCAGTGGTGGCCCATTACATCCAGAAATTGTGGACCATTCCCCGTTCCAGGCGGGAGTTGATCACCTAGGATACTTGGATGCATCGACACACTGCACCCAAGGGCCCTCCTCATGAAGAACAATGTTCAACGCCATGGCGACAAGTGTGGTGACGAGCCGACAGCGTGGCTGCGGCTTCGGTTTCTGTTATTGTTGCAATCCTCAATGGCAGCTCGTCATCTGGCTCAGCCTGCATGAGCCTGCATGAGCCTGCATGCCACATGCCGTTCTTTGGACCTTGACTGCTCACGAAAATTGACTCGCCACTAAACGTGCGTAACTAGCCACGATAGCGGAGAGGCTGGCCGACGTTCCAAAGAAGACACTGCTCTGCTATGGCTTCAACATACAACCGTGATTAACCGTCCCAATATGTAGCACCCTCACGCCGGACATGCCGCCCCCAGGTGAAACTACAACTCGAGCTCACTTGCCAAGGCCTGCATGAAAATATGCTCATGTTGAAACATGGATGCTGCCCCCAGCAACAGATAGCAGCGTTGGTCTCATGTGAAGTTCCACCATCCACAGCAAAGTTGTGCTGGCATGTTTTACTGTTTCGCTCTGCTCCCGGCTTGACATGGCTTGGCAACATCGTAGCTGCCAATGGCTGCATCATGTTTAGTTTGAGCCTCCAGAACCTCTCGCACAGCTCGCCGCACATCTGGTGCCCCAACCGAAGCCAGGGATGCTAGCCTTGGCCCATCTTTGCACGGAGCCAACGCATACCCTAAACAGGAGAGATTCTGGCCTCGAACACTCATCAGGCCCTGACTGTGGAAGCAACGCCATCACCAAGCCTTTCATGTAAGAGACTGAAGGAGGGCGCCCGTGTTTTCTTCCGAGGGGGGGGGGGAGGGTACTTCTGGGTTAGGGCATGCTAGCATCCCTTCATTCGAGCGCGTGAGGCACGCAAAAGCCGAATACATTGATCGCTAAAACGAAAGTAGTACAAGCGACTGCTCTTGTATCTCAAACTTCCGAGCACGCCACCACGAGAGCCAGCCAAGCTGCATGCTGATCTGGCCTGCGTCAATGTCAATGGCATCACGGCGCCACATCTCGTACTTGTTTTCATGGCCTTTAGAGAAGCGCCTGTCGTCGCTGCTGCAACAGCGGCCTGGCATGTCAGATAATGCTTCCACACAGCTGGCCTCGCTCTTGAGCTACGCAGTTTAATCAGCATGCATGAGTGCCAGGAAGTACAGAAATGGTAGACACATGCCAACAAAACCGGGAGCTGAATCAACCCGTCTGCCTCGTCTACTTGCATCTTTTGCAAAAGCATCAAGGCCTCACGGACATACTGCACATACAGGACACCCACCCTAACTCGACGCCTCACACCATGAAATTTGGACTTGACAGGTACTTGAATGTGGCGCGATAGCGATGCCTGACGGACCTCGATTGCCTTTTGCGCGGCTGCGTCGGCCATGGGAGCTCCCCTCTGCCGAGCTTCCTGAAGCTCTCAAGGCTCTTATGGCACGGCACTTAGCAATAGCGTGGTACATCATCAGGCCAGGCCTCATCTTGCAAATATCTCGCGAAAAGTGCACGAACCTAATGGCGGTGCTCGGCGATTGCTGCTGGTAATGTGATTCTGACGGTTGAAGCATGCTAGTTTTCTGTACTGCCCTACACAGAAACTACTCTTTACCCGCTGCACCTCCTTCAAGCCAAGCTTAAAGCTTAGGGGTAAAATTATTGCTACTGTGTGTTCAAGTTTATTCGAAATCTTTGTCGGTGCATTTTCGGGGTGCATTTTATGGGCGTGGCACGTACAAAAATCGGTCCCTTTTGCATACATGATTTGTCATCCGGATTCGGGGGAGAAGACGCTCCAAACAAACACCAAACAAACACTGGTGCTGGAAAGCATTTTCGAAACCCTTCTGGCATCATGACCTTCGTACCAGAGCCTAAGAGCATCTTAATTGCTAGAGCACAAGGAATATCAACAGAAAAAAATGTTCGCATAGCCGTGGTAGTCAGTAATAATCGCAATGATAGCAATCAGAGTAATCACAGTATGCATGGTAAACGTGGTCATCATGTTTCATGTAACCATACTACTCATACAAACCATAGTTACAATGGAGCTGCTCTGCGATGCGGGGGGGGAAGTTGGTGTCGGCCGCAGTAACGTCTGTGGGCCATTACACTCACTCACCATAGTTACAATTATAACTACGCATGTGCAGCCAGAGCTCCGGCAGTAGGGTCACATGTTGTCAGGAACAACAAGCGAAGGGGGTAACGGGGGTGCTCTTCCGGCATTTCCCCCGCAAAGCCCTTGAGCATGTCACTTGGACGTCCATGAACCGTCACCCGGTTTCATCAGCTTGGCAGCCAATCGGGAGGGACAGAAACCACAAGATCTGACTTACGACATGTTCACAGAGACTTGTAGAGTCTTGACTGTGCATCACATCAAGCATCTACTCGTGAGTCGTGAGAGCCCGAACTCAGGCGGCCGCGTGGGCCACTAGTGCTGGTACTGCAATGCCTGGCAGCAAGACATGAAGCAGCTTCAAGCCGAACCAACATCGCAGTGCAGCTAGCCAGAGTCACAAAATGCCAAGCTGTTACGATTTGTGCAAATGACAACAGTCAATGAACGCCGCTTGGGATGGCCAAGTAGGGCTGGTCGACACGGAATTTGCCTCACCTTCATACAATCGCAAAACACCTCTGCGTGAAGGACGGACAGGTGTCTGGGTTCTGAGTGCCCAAGCCGATGACACTGTCGTGGCACCTTTGGCTGTGGCAGTGATGACCTAAGCAGTGAAGAAGCCCATGTAAGCCCACATGAGCCACTACAAGCCAGTATAAGGCAAGCATGTCACGGGGCTGTTGGCCAGTCCGGGTTCAATCGAACTTGCCTGTTCGGCCTATATCGGCCCACCTTTCTCGGCCCCTGTCCAGGGTCTCCAAAGATGCCACTTTAGGCTCCGGCGCTCAGCTTCAACTCTTCCTCATCGGTGGGATTTCCGACCTCTGGCACCTGAACCCAAGAGGTCATGACACCAGCGAGGTCTTGCTGCAGTGCGATACATCGTGTAGCATGTTCTGCAAGCTGCCGCGTGCCTCAGGCTGCATGGCACAGAGCGCGAAGAAGTGCCTGCTACATCTTGCTCCACAGCTGTCATTCCAGCCGCTCATGACAACATTGCCAAACTTGGGCCCGACCCAGAAGCTCGAACATATTCGAACATGTTAAGACCCTACGGCCCCGCGCCTGAGGCTCGATGAGCCCATGCCCTGCTGACCTCGACTTTGTTGCGAAACAAACGAGAAAGAAGCGAAGAAGGACAAGACCCATCACATTGCAAATCCCTTGGAAGTTCATTTCAAGTGCCCGCGACCTGGGCCTAAGGCCACTACTGACCAGCACCTGGCATCACAAGACCGACTCTTCTTTTTTCTCCTTCTTCTTCCTGGGCTTAAAGGAAGGAGCCTAGACTCCCCGACCGACCCCCCCCTCCCCCCACGACGCATCCGTGCGCCCTGATACGCAGGCAGTCCAGTCTCACTTGTCTGTGTGACCACTCTGCTAGCAAAGAATCTCTGCGGCTGAGTTGTTTCGCGAGAACGTTTGAAGTGTCTCCCTACTCTCAAGGACTGCAGGCGCTCCCGGACCAAAGTTGCAAGACACTGTTGCGTCCTCACTGACCGATGCAAGTAAGACGGCATGGACCGTGCCTGAAGTAGATGCACTGCACTTTCTGCAGCAGTAGCCGGCGTCTTGGAGCATGGCAGGATCCTTTCAAGAACATGTGCTGATGCGACTTGAAAGTCACTAGATATGGGCTCCATGACCACACTAGTGCCCTGGCGATCTGAGATAGCAACCGCTGCATGAGAAGATTGCCGAGCACCTGACGAGAGTGACGGCTGTCTTGCCCTCTCATCACTACATGGGCTTTTCTGCTATTTACAACCCATCTTAAGCCTAAGCGTCAACAACAGAACCAACTCCAGAAGCAACCAAGCCTGCGAGAGAACACTGACATCCGCCATGTTCGCTTCGGACCTTGGCCAACTGGCTTGGTGTTGCGTTACGACAGTAGAAGCACAAAGGCCATTACCTGTTGTGGTCGCATTTGCTGGATCTTGTCGGGACTGGTTGAGTGCTTCGCCTTGGTGACTGGAGAGCGCCGCTCAGGACCTCGCCGACGAGCTCACGAGCTAAACAGCATCTGTGCTGACTTCGAGTTGCACAGCTTTGGCAAGTATTCGCACAGAGAAAGCGTGCCCTTGAGAAGGATGTGGTCAACGCGCTCCAGTAGCTATTGGATGCCTCGGCTTCGCACAGCTCAAGGAAAACCAGATGCGAAAGCTAGTTGGGTGCACAGGTACGGGGGATAAGCTAGAAGGTATCGGGCAAGGACGGCAACAAGAGCCCGGTTTCTCGAAGAGGAAGAAAGTTAGGACCTGGAAAAGCGGTCTCAGGTTTCTCAGAGCATACAAAGCGGTTTTTTTCTTCTATTGTTGTTGTGTTTCGGGGTTTGGGAGTTGCTGCCCCGCCTCTGTGCAAAGCAAACAGAATCTGACCCGGACGTGTTTTGGGGGGAGGGGCAGCAGGGGGGGATATGAAAAGATGTTGTTTCTCCGACCTGTGCCTCCACCGCGCTCGAGCGTGTCTAAGGGTTCCGAGTCATTCCCAGCATCCTTCCCACTCGCACTCTCCGTTTTTCACATCACGGCCATCTACATATACTATTTTCTTTTTAATCTTCTTGCCAATCCTCTTTTCTGTCTTCTCTGTCCCCGAATGTTTGTTCCCCGTTCATTTTTCAGAAGTTCTGTCAGTCAGGACACCTTACCAAAAGATTCTCTTGCTCCGTCTCAGATATGGCTTGTTGGTACTGCAAAATTCGCCGAGGCCCCACTTGTCAGGTATCCACCTCCTAGATGCTGTCAGGCGAAAGGGTGGAAAAGTAGCGATGGGCGGGCTTGTCCTCGTTCATTATGATGAGTCATTTAGTCATCTGTAGTGTGCAAATCTGTGCAAGCTGGGGGGCATCGGAGTCCAGATCGAAACGTCCAATAGCTGCCAGGCTGTCTTCCACCTTAGTGGTTCAACTCAAAGCGTGGCCACTGCCAACTATTACTCAGAGGCCCTGGTTGCACTCCCAAGGTCATTTCGGAAAGATCTTTAAAATCTGAAGTGGCCCAAGCTCGCAAGGTTCCATTCCTCATGGCCTTCACGGAACAATCGATACCAAGAGCCAGGCCAAGTAGAAGAGTGCCTGTCAGCCGAGCGATGACTGGCCAAAATGCTTGTGGTTGGCTTGTGCCTACAGTCGTTGCCTCTGTCGAAGCAGTCAAAACACGCAAAAGCGCCCGTGATCCGCCTCCAGTGCCAGTTTCCACAGGCCACAGCGTCGCACGGTCTGGCAACGCCCTGGAAGAGACACGGCTTAGGGCTTAGGGTTGTCTTTGCCTGTATCCTTGCTCTTTCAAGCATCAAGGAAGTTCTCACTCAAGAAGGGAGCCTTTTCCACAAGCCAGGTCGGCAAGTACCTGATTCACGCAGCCAGACACAAGCACGTCCGGTCTCTTGACTACGTAGTCTTGCATCTGCCCCCTGCGCACTTCGAAAAGGCGTGGCATGCTCTCACCGAGAAAGCTCTGAAGATGCCTTGCACCGTGGAAGTAAAGCGGCCAGATTAGCGCAACAGGATGTACAAGACTCAGTTTTGGTAACCTGCCGACAACTCCTCTCTGTACACATCTCACTGCATCTGTACAGCAGCCATTTGCGGACTGTGTGAGACATAGAATGTCGTTAATGATGCAGCAGTGATTTTACCATTGCTGGTCGAGCAAGGAAGCTGCACATGTGGCAGCGATGTTTTGGATTTGACCTTTCCACTTTTCATCACTCTGCCCTGCCCATTTCCACAATGCTTCTGGCAGCAGCTGTAGCTCCGTCCTCGTCCACTACCTGACGCGCAGATATGCTTTGAGTGTTCCATTTGGGCCGCATGGGGGATCTTTTCTCATCACAAAAACTCTAATGGGCTAGTTTTCGACGGGGAAACAGGAAGCTTTAGACTTTCAGGGCCGCAAGCTTTAAAGGTTCTAGACCTCAACAGAACAGCTCGCCATGGTTTTGCCAGCCTTGCTGCGCAAGTCCTGCAACATCCTTTCATCCACCTTCAGGCCCTCCTGCACTGCCGATGCAACCTGGCGGAATATCTGCGGACATCTCAGCAAGTCAGCTGAAATTGCTGCTGGCCTGATCGAGGGCTTCAGGACTTCGAAGTGTGGACTTGCGCAGGGGCTCGCAGGTGTAGCCATACAGCTCCTCCGTGTCAGCGTGTCACGCAAGGATGTGTGACAACACATGCTATGCCACAAATCAAGACTACAAACACCATGCAGGTCAATCATCCGATAAAGAAAGATCGACCTGTTTCGGCGCTTTAAGCCGTCCTTCCAGAAGGGAATGATGATCCATGCAGGGATGTTTCGCATGTTCAATCAACCAGTTTCCAACGGGCGGAAGCTGTCCGTGCTGCAACTTGGACAGATTTCGCACCCTGTCATCGCTTCGATCTTGCCAAGTCGCGCCACGCGCAAGCTATCGTTTTGAGGTCAACTTTCTGGTGTTCTCCAGCTTGGCACTTGCATCTGCAATTATCTTCAGGCCGCTGTCGCCCACCCTGCACATTAACCTTTGCGCCTACAAAGCAGCGAGTGGAAGTGTTTCTTTTGTTCCTTGGGTTTTAAAAAGAAAGAGCCGCGTTTCTTTTTTTGTTTGGAACGCGGGCTGGCCAAGGAACAAAAGTCCGGGGGGTCGGCGCGGTTCTTTGTGCGGCGCCCGCTGTTAATGACTCTCACTACTACCGCTGCTTCTGCTGGACCACCTACACTACAGTACCACCACCAACCAGTACTAGTACTACCGTGCGCTCATTGCAGGCGGCAGTTTGGTCCTCCAAGCGGCTTGCGATGTAAAACCTCAGGACCAAACGCTGTGCCAAACGGGGTTCGACAGTCAACGTGCTTTTCTTGCCATCTTTTAGTACAGTGTCTTTTGCCAAGTGTCTGGTCGTCAAAAAAAGGGAGTGGAACCACCGCCACTCCGCTTGCCAATGCTTCGTGAGTTGAATTGGCACCTCCATGCGACCTCGGCCAATTCGCATCACTTGACCATGAGCCTGTGCTTGACTGCGTGAGGCATGCCCGTCTTGAATCCTGCTGGTAGCTGCAAGCAGAAGACACGAAACATCGAACAGAAGGGTGGTTCAACACAGCCCATTGTGGCAAGCACTGTGCGAAACGAAGTCTGCCACAGCGTACTGCCTCCAACAGCAGCGGGCTCATCTGTTCGGGGTCGCTCTTGGACGCGGCAAGCACCCGTGGGGAGGCCCGCAAGCAGCCCTCCAACAGCCTAACCTCCGCGTGCTCACACACCACTTCCAGAGCACTTTGGCTTCCCAACGCTACAAGTGTGACGGTCTGCGAATCCTCTTCCACTGCGGCTCCATCGAGCCAGCTCCGCAGCTCAACATCAGAAATGACAGCATCTTCCTGGCTCGGGAGAAAGGCACCAAAGCGGCGACGACCTCCACAATCCAAAGCCTTGCCAACCAAACAATCGGCGATGATGTATGACACCTCGTCCAGAGCAAATTCTGGAAAGTCCGCTCCTGGTTGGTTCCTCACGACGCAACAGCCATCAAAATTCCAGATGGGATCGTGACAGTATGCAGCTCTGAATGGGCCCCGATAGGTCGGCATCAAGCCAAATACTTTCTTCCTGCAGGCACAAAATCTTCGAACTTCAAAAGCCCTCACTAACCTAAAGGAGTCCTATGGAGTAGCAACGATGGAACACATTGTAGGAGCAATCAGCAGCTAAGTGTCCCATGGGCAATAGCCATTTGACGCGACCACTTGCCCCAGTTTGCTTCGAAGACCACGCATTTCACATCCGTCTTGCACAAGCGCTCCTTAAAAGCTGCTGCGCCTGCAGCAGAAACTGGGTCCATGTCGCCGATGCCATCTTCTGTTGCTCTTTCACCTCACAAAGCTCACATGCTGTGCCGCTGTGCAGTCCGAATGAACATCATGCCTTGCAGTGGATTCCCATTCTGAAGAAAGCGAGCTGAGCTGCTCAAAGGAACCATCGGCCCATTACGTTCCAGAATACGCTTGAATGCTGCCATGTCATCTTGTAACAGTGCTGCTTGGCCATCGGCATCTGTGTTCCCCGAGCTAACACAGGACTTGTAGGCAGCCGTGATAGCAGGTAGGTTGCAATGCCCGAGATCCTGGCTTCGGAGCTCATCATGGCAAGTGACCACGTTTTCGTTCATATGGGGAGTGCGCATTTTTGTTGGAAGTATTCACATGTGCTGCTTCTTCACGCATGCCGAATTTCGAGAAGACGGCTGGTTCCCCGAAAGGGCTGAAGATATGAGTTTTTTCACAATGACTTACCCAAAGACGTATACAAAACATTACAAAACACACCCACACCCACACCCACACGCACACGCACACGCACACGCACACGCGCACGCACGCACACGCACGCACATGCACGCACACGCACACGCACACGCGCACGCACACGCACACGCGCACGCGCACGCGCACGCACACGCACACGCACACGCACACGCACACGCACACGCACACGCACACGCACACGCACACGCACACGCACGCACACGCACACGCACACGCACACGCGCGCGCACACGCGCGCGCAACCGCTCACGCGCGCACGCACGCACCCACACACAATGGATCTATTCTGCAAGTGCTCTTTGTGTTCTCGAAAGCCTCTCTGAAACTGGGCTTCAACGATCGGATCGCTTTTTGGCGAAAGAGGCCACGAAGAGGAGACGGTCAACGGAGGAGCGTCGGACGGAATGACTTTTGACGGGAGGCCACGGAGATGACACGGTCAAGGGAGGGGGGTCGGAACATTTTGCTGGGAGAGGGGTGTGGCGTGGGGAGGCCCTCCACGCCCTCCCCGCTCGCTCCGCGTCCGCGCCCTCCGCGACCTCCGCGCCCTCCGCGCGCTCCGCGCCCTCCGCGCCCCCGCTCAGGACATAGTGTGCTGAGGTGTTTCCGTTGTAAAGTATTGGTTTACAAGGCACGCACGTGCAGCATAGCCTTTCAGTGTCCATCTTACCCCCCCACCCCTCAAACCAATCCAAGGTCCACTTTTCATATTTCCCGAAACAAACGCAAACAAGTGAAAGTGGAAAGGGAATTTAAGCAAAAAAATGGAAGGGCACAGGCCCAAAACACAAGTGGAAAGTTGAAGAAGCGAAATTATAGAGCATAGGCTTTCAGAAAAATGGCAAGCGGAAAGCCGTGTTCAGTTTCAATTAGGGCTTAGTTTGATAAGTTAAGCTCGTGCAGTTGAAATATGAAAAAGACACTCGGACTATTTTCACGAACTTATTGGCCATGCGCGCGCGAGGTAACTGGTGGGTTCATGGCTCTTGAATGTGCGTATATCTTTCCAAAACCCTGTCTCTGCTGGCGTTTTTTGCAAAGCCCCTAAAACACGTTGATGGGTGGTCCTGTTCCAGACACGTCCAACATCCTGCTGAAGTATGTTGTGCAAGAAAGGCAAAAACGCTCTAAGCACCAGTGCTTCGGGCATGTTCACAAGCGACACGAAAGTTTTGGCCGTGCATCTTGTTCCAGACACCTGAAACATCTTTTTGCACTATGTTGTGCAAAAGAAGCAAGAACGCTGCAAATACCACTGTTTTCACGAAAGACATGAACCTTGTGACAGTGCGTCTTGTTCCAGAAACGTCAAACATCCATCTGCAGTATGTTGTGCAAAGAGGCAAGAACGCTGCAAATACCAGTGTTGCAGCGTTGGTCAGGAGGAGGGCAAAGCCAAGACAGAGATCGACGGCCAGGCGTCAAGATGTTCTCTTTGATTGTTTGCATATGTCGTTTGGTTCGAGGTCATCGGATGCGGCTCCTAATGCATGCATGACTCCCTGCATGAACATCGTCGGGTGAGTAAGGGAATTGCAGGTAGAGTGAGTGCTCTGTACTGTTGTGAGCTGGCGGATTTGCTGCCTTGTGGAGATGCGGTCCCGTGGTGCCTTCAATTGTATTGTATAGAACGGAAGCCCGCCCTGCACAAACTTTCAGACGAAACGCCTAATAATCATTTTTGCACGCGTGCAGATGCACGTGCATGTAGTCTCTCTCACCTACTTCCTTGCACACGTTCCCCAAACTCCATGAGCAAAGCGTCGAACCGCACTTCATGAAAGACACCGTCGATGACCCAATCTGAGCAGTTGGAATTTGTCCACAGCTCGCAGGTCCATCCGAGCTTCGATAGCGCCCGTGCAAGTGGAAAACAAAAGTTGAAGTGTCCGCGATCAGCGTGGAAGACAAACAAGGCAGAGGCCATGAAGGCACAAGCCCGTTGCTAGACTTGAGGTCTGTTGAGGATGCCAGCTGGAGCCCTGTGCTGCGAGCAGTTTGATGTTGCGGCTCTGTGACAGTGCGGCTGGGGACTGTAGGGGGGTCTGTTCTCTGGCATCAGCACCGCCAGCACTCTTTGCCCCTTTGCTTGGCGCTGTTGACTGCTATTGCTTGCACATGCGGGCCTTGATGCCTCCAAGCAGGCCCTGGGCAAAGTACTCGCCAAAGTACTCTCCAACACAGCCAAAGTTTAGCCGTGCAGGAGTTACTGCATTGCTGCAAGTCGAATAAAGTCACCTCTCTGTAAGGTCAAGGCGTTGGCTCACCTCGGACAGGATCCCCATTCGGCACAGAACAAAGAGCAATCGTCAAAGTCATTCAAAGTCACTGAACCAACCAAAGTGGACACATGTGGACACTTGGTTTTGGGCCTGACAGCTTCAGGAGCTGGTGCAGCAATGTTCTCCGGCCTCCGAGTTCCAAGATGTTCCCTCTGACGCTGTGCAAGCAAACAACGTGTGATACTGAGATGATCTAGGAATCTAAGCTGAGAGCAGAAAACAACGAGCACGCAGAGGCTGCGAACTGCCAGGGCCAGCCTTTGTGCGCAAAGCGGGCAAGTGGAGGATGCCCCCGTGATTTCACCCACATTTCCCTATTTCCCTGCCTGTTCGAGTCAAGAGAGACTTGCCCAGGATCCAGGAAGATGACGCACATCTGGCACAGGAAGAGTGCCTGTAACCAGAGATCTCAAGCCAACAACTTTGGCAGCTCCTTGTGAGGGCAAGGCGCTAGTTCGAGCTTATGGGTTACTGCCGCCCATTGCTCGCTCGTGGCTTGCAGCTGGTCTAGATGGAGATCTCTCAATTCCAGGCCATTTGCTCGCTGCCTCCAGGTAACTGTCTGTGAGACAGGGCATCTCCTGCACCAGACTAGCATGGCCAGGTTCCCATAACTTTCCCATGCCCAGCCATATGAGCACGCGCCTCCAGCAAGCCGAAGGCTGTCCCCTGGACGTGCTGCAGTCGTGCCTCTGCCGATAAGGCTCTTCGACATTCTTCGACTAGCTGGAGACTCATGATTGCACAGATGTCTGTGATGTGCTCAAGAGTTTCCACAGAGCTCCCCAGAGCAGGCATACTGGCATGTAGCATCTAAGCCGGTAAGGGATTTGCTGAGCAAACGTGGAGCAAAGTCCGGTGTGTTGGCGATCTGCTTGGACCTTGCCAACAAACATGCTGGTGCGCTCGCCCCCTCCACTGTTCCACTTGCAGCTCCAACATGCTATGATCTGAAAGCTGCCAATAACTGGAGCTGAGCACCCTTGCTTCAAGTTTAAGTCTGTGGTGCAGGTGCGAGGTGCAACCCCTCCCCCCGGGCCGGAACCAGCTGCAGGCTCCTTTTGAACCGCAGTACACATCAGCCATGGCCAATCACCGCTGACCAGCATGTCGACTTCTTCCAGCAGGGCCACAGCCTGCAGAATGCTCATGGCTTCCCACCCTGATTTGTTGCATCTGCTGCGTCAAGCTGTGTCATCTGTGCCTGGTCCTTTGCCAGCACCTTCTCACATACCTGAATCGCCAGTCTTGGTAACTTGTGGTAGCTTTGCCAAATCTTGTCAAGAGCCGCTTCGTTTGTACAAAACCGTCGAAATTCCACGAACACAACACTCTCGTTTGGGAGCCAAGGACCGACAAGGCAGCCGAGTAGGTGATTAAGTCCGGCATCATTCCTCCATTGCAAATGTCCGACTTCATGTCCTTACCGAGCGCAGCAGCTGCGAGTACATGGGGCCATGATGAACGAACCCAAATGACACTACATCCACATGGGGCAAGTGATTGCAATTGCCCGCCAGGGCTCTGCCAAAAGATCCAGTGATCGTTGCCATTGCCAGGCCGCCTTCAAGGCCTGGGCTTCGAGCCGAAAAATCCAAACTTCCCTGCCCCTCTCCCACCCCGACCTTCTCTCTCATGAGAGTACGGGTACGGCGTAGGGTGGCTGAGGTGGGGTCTATGAGATGATGGTTCCCCCACGAGTGCTTACGAGTGCCTGTTGTCTCTTCCCGCTTCATTCAAGGCTTGGCTGCTGGCTGGGCGAGGTTTGACTTGGAGCGGAGAACACATGACACTGCCCAGCTTCTACGAGACAGTATATGACAGTATCAGAAATTGGTCATGAAGCTATTCATGCTACCTGCTACCACTATTCATGCCAAAGAAGCTCGCTGTGCTGCATTGTGTGTCAGCGCATCTGGCAAAAGGCGCTTGAGCTTCATGTCCTGCTGGACAATCAGCTCGCATGTGTCACGCAGACTGCAATGACTATCCTCCGTCCTGCAACAGGAACACAGCTATTTGCCACCTTGCATCAGCCTCGCAAGCAGCGATTGCCTTGCCAGCAATGCAAGGCTCGTGTCGCACAGTCGCGCATTGTGGCATTTGTGCTTGTCTCAAACACCGTCTGCTGCGAAGTTAACTCAGCCCACGACCGCATTGAAGCTGACAGCATCTGGATTGCACATGGCACGAAGGAGCCTCAGACTTGTTCAGCCGCGCTTTTTACGCTGTGCTGGTTCCCTCGCTCCTGAGACAGCAACGCCGTGGCTTGGACCCATTGACCCGCTGCAGCGCATGCCGCAATTGCGGCATTGTTCGTGATGACCTCAGAACTGCTGGGAAGCATGGCGGGGCATGGCGCGGCAATGTGGCAACATGTGACAACACAGCTACGACAATTCGGGAAAATCTAAGCAACCCAAGGTCTCATGCAAGGATTGCTTAACAAAGCCAAAAGGCGTTAGAAGTGATCAAGTGCTTTTGCATCTCCTGCGAGTTTCCGACGGCAAACTGATGAGTTAACTTGCATCGGCAAGAGAAGCTATGTGAGCTTTTCGTGTGAAGCTCCGTGAGGATGGCAAGCCTCAGCACAATGGCTTTGTTTATCCCATCGTCATTTTCACCAGGTCACCAGCATTTGATTACAGCGCCGGATTTACACGCATCGAACAATCTTACATGTGCAGGCGCGATGCGCAAAGGCCCACTGCTCATCTGCCTTCCGGGAAAGATTTGCTGACGAGGTGAAGGTTAACATGGATGCAGGCAGGCGATTCCGTTTGCAAGTCGTTCGAGGTCCCGGTTTCAATGTCCGGGCTGCCACATATTTCTGCATTCACAAGGCCAGCTCTGCCTTGCCTCGCAGGCACTTATGATGGCACTGAATGTGATGATGTCGGGCTCCACCTCCTTGGACATGCACATTGGATACATTGGGATCAAAGACATGTGACAAACTAGAACCACCGAGTTTGCAAAGATCACTGGTCGTGAGACCACCCAAATACTATTCCAACAATCTCTTGTTTCAGAAACACAAGCACAACTCCCAATGACCTTCCTATGTGCACATACCTGTCCCAGTGATCTATCCACTCTTTGAGGGATGGTTTTGTGATGTCTTGCATTCCTTGTGCCCGTGTGGGTATCCGGCGAGGACCGGAACGAGAGCCAATCACCGCAGACTTGGTCCAGCGAGGAGGATAGGATGAGCAGTTCTGCCGGTTCTGGACCTTCTTGAAGACCAATCGGAAGGTGTGTCATGGTTCGTACGCCGTCTGTGAGTGTGCTAGGTAAGGGAGCCGACATTTGGAAGACGGGGAAAGAGCTATGGCAGTTATGGAAAACAAGGCGGGGCCCAGGTCCAATACCTGGTAGGGATCTGTTCTCGCAGGGCCGGGAGTATTCCAAGCCTGGCCATGTGGAACCTCGTTCTGCATTTGGTTGTCATACTAGGAGACACTGTGCAAGAGAGAGCGGATATGAGGGGGGATCGTGCAGAAGCTATGGGCTGAGGACTGGATGACTCCACGGGCTGTGTTACGGACAGAGGTGGCAGCCATATTAATTAAAGGCTGACATCCATGGCATCTACAACTGCTTTAGCCACAAAGCCACTCTTCCTCTTAACATGATCCATACGTGTCACGCTGTCAGAGCATAAAAGGAACTACTTCAGGCTCTGATGCCTTGGACATGCATCAGATGAAAGCGCGACGGGCTTGAAGGACTTTGTCGGTCTTAACTGTTATTGACAAGAAATGCCTGCTAATTCGTCTCCATGTCTCATGGCCCTCATGCCTGCATCGACTGCTACGATGCACAATCAGCGCAACGAAAAGCAAAGCCACACGGACCTAGAAGCGACAAGTTTCAGTCAAGGCTCCGAAGACAACATCTTCCTCAATACTTCTAGTGCTTGTTCCCACTCCTTCCGGGATGCCACTGTGCGCTGTCTACGAGGGTTGTTAAACCGTTGTTTCGCCTTCCATGGTCCCCCCAGAAGTCCGGCTACTTCACTGAGGGTTCAGAAGCCTCAACGACTCTATCCTTGCCACCGGGTGGTACAGGGGCTGGGTGGGGGGTCCCCGTCAATTCGGGCTGCTGAAAAACCTTGATGAGCCAGTCGAGCGCATAAACGCTGTGAAAACCGCGCTCTCGAGTGCGCGCCATACAAGCCCCCCGGTAACGATGACGATGACGGTGACGATGATGACGATGACGATGATGATGTGCGCATACCCGCAGCCCTCCGCTCTGTGCCGGACCGTCAGCTGGCCCGAGTTTTGTTCGGGGTCTCACAAAGGCCTGGGCCCTGAAAATCTCGAAAAGAAATTCCCGAGGGCGCACTGAACTGCCGGCACCGTAGGAACCCAGTATCCGACTGTTCCAGGAGTGTTGCAGAAAAAGGCCACCTTCCCTGAATTTTGCGGCCATGGATGACTGCCGCAAGAAGCAATGGACCATGACAACTCGCTCGCCGAAAAATGAAAACCGGCTTCGCCTACCCGAATATTTAGTGAGCCAGTCACGTGTACCGACAACGAAGCCTTTCAACTATTATGTCAATGACTCTCGCCATCCCCGCTATCCATTCAAACATTCAGTTCTCAAGCCAACCACTTCCAAGCAGACCTAGTTCGAACCTACTCTCTGGCGAGTGTCCTGCTCACTGCAACTCCCTATACTGTCCGATGTGCCGGCATCTGGGCCCCCACACACACACATCATAAGTGCTTGTCCTTCTTTCGCCCATTCACGATACATCCGAGTGGTTATGACAGCCAGAATAACCTTGCAAGTGTTGGAGTGCTGCTTCGTGTGTGGGGTGCTCACGATGTTTCACCATCAGGTCTTTCTTTGCGACCTTCCTGTTTCATAACTTCCTGACGATACTTCACGACTGGTGCAATCGATGTGCTGCGCACTTGTTCATGGGAAAAGGCCGTTGTGAACTCGTTTTTGCACGCTTGAGGCTTCCATTTTTCACGTTGCCCGGCCGCAAATGCTCGAGATCTTGGTGGGAGATCATTTCGATCCCTGAGGAACGGTCATGCAGAGCTGTTGAATCAAAAGCCTTGCTGACATGGGATTGAAACACCGAAGTGCACGAACAAAGGCGAATGCGATCACCAGAGTTGACAAACACAATGCGTAGTCACAACATAAAAAAAACCATGGAGTTGGTACACTCAACAGCTCACTAGATGGGCGGGCGGAACGGAACAAAGCAGTAACTAACCACGGACGCGACAAATCTTCAACGTGCTTCCTCTTTGTCTGCCTTGCGCCATCATATTGATACATTCGTGGGACCCGAAGGCCAATTATAGTATCGGAGCTTGCAAGGCATCCTGCTCTAGACGGGAAGCGACGGACTAACTGCAACTGTTGGACAGGTGTCTTGGCAGCAAGAAAGCTCTGGGAACAAGGATGGTCCATCGCAACGACAAGTGAATTTACGAAGTTTCCTTGCTGATGACTTAATGCTTCCTGTTCCATGGTACCAGGGAGGGCATGTGTGCCCAAGTTCTCCCTTCTTAGCGAATTTTCTAAGTTTGGCATTGCCAGCGCTGTCTGCGAAGTGATCGCGTGTACGAATGTTGAACTGAGCTAGCGAACTGAATGCCCCATTTTGAAATTATTTTGTTTTCTTACCGCAGACACAGTATTGCTATAATAATCGCACTTCTGGGGCGTCACTATGAAGATCCCCAAGCACACAAATAATACTGAATCTGTGAGAGAATAAACAAAGTGAATGAGCGAACCTCCAAAACCCCCTCTCTCTCGGTACTGATCGTAATGGGGTCTCTGGGCACAATACTATTCCAGGAACAGTGCATATAAATGCAGTACATGAGCGCTGTAAAAGACAAGACAACAGAGAACAATACCCTGAACGATAGTATTCTGGCGCCAATATAATTGAATCCATTTGGTGGGCGCTATAACACTAGTATTAATTTTGCTCACGGACTTATCAGATTCATCACTAAAAATTTTGTAGCTTCTGAGGATAAGCAGAATAAGAGTGAAGAAAATTAATGGGATTTGCAAGGAATTCAAGACAAGCGAAACAGGCAAGGCGGCAGGGTGGTGCAGTGCCTTTGTGATTGTACTGAATACAGGAATCGCTGTGAAAGACACGCAGCAGGGATCCCACGTAGACACCTATGAGTTTCAGAGGGCCTGGCGGGCTTCGCAAGCTGTTGCCACGGCATTGCATAGCGCGGCATCTGGTTCAGGTCCAAAGCGGAAACACTCCTGCATCAGTCCTGCATCGTGTCGCAACTTCCAAACTGACACGAGTGCAAACGTGAAAAAACGAAGCACACGCTGATGCATCTTATGCCGTCCTACAGCGTGCTGCCATTCAGCAGCCTGGCCTGGACAACTGCAAGATATAAGGACACCAGCCTAGCTGCTGCAGCTAAACTCATGTCATGCGTTGCAGAACCGACACGCAGAAGCCCGACTGGCATACACTCCCAAAGACATCGCGGCGCTATTTGTATGTACAGCGCACAGCGCCTTTTTCATATATCACACAAGTTCTCATAGATCATAGAGTCTAAAGGTGGAAGGGATGAGAGTTTCGACATACTTCTTGGAAACAGCTCAAAAGCTCAAACTCCTCCCCCCCCACACCCCCCCACCCAAAGGAAGGACAGGCAGTGGGTGCCTCGAGGGGCAAGCGCACCACTCAGCAAAGCGGTCCATGGAGTTCATGCTTGCAGTGGAGTGGGGCTTCTCAGCCTTGGAGTAGCCTTGTATCTCAAAGTAGTTGAGCAGCCCCCCACAATGCCACAATGCAGCATCATTCTCCTGATCCTGGTCTTCACCTTTCCCTGACGGGGTTCTCTCCGGAGAAAGGGATTGGAGGCGTTGGCGCCCAACTCAGAGTGTGCCTGTTCCTGCCTGACAAAGAAGCAAGGCCAAGGCAAACACGCAAGGACCAGGGACGAGAGCACGAACGCCACAGCGAAAGGGGACAGCATCAGACGTATGGAGGCAGTGTTTAAGCACGCCTGACGAAAGGGATCACGGGTGGCGACTTTCGTTTGAGGTAGGCCGGCAGGCTGGCTTTGTCTTCATTTGTGTCTCTTGAGGAACGTAGCAGCCGATGTCGTGCATTTGCTCGACGAATCCTTCAATGCCGAAAGAGCGGCTCAAGCCACCGCTTGGATGAAGCGACTCAAGCAATGGGTGCCTCCATCAAAGTTCTTTGATCCTGAGACGGCTCGGGCTTGTCTATTCCTTCAGCCAGGGACCCTGCAAAAACGAACGCAGCTATAAGGTACGCCATTGATCCTTGCAATGGTATCACAAGAGAAATGCAGCATGTTCTTTGGTTGCTGTCTGAAGCACACCCCTGCTTGGTATCGAAAAAGAAAACGTATCGGTTCCTGAGAGCACAAGAGGAGCACACACACACACACAGGACTTTCTTACAGGTTTGCTCCATCACGCACTTGCATGGTTTAACTTCTGGTGGAGCTATCTTTGGCGGAACGCGAAAGGATGATTGCTTTGCATGAAAGACATGTTAGACGGATAGCATCTGTTCCGCACCAATGGGAAAAGTAGGGAACAGATCAAAAACCGAAGATGGGGTGGCATTCTGAATCACATGAGCCGTGAGAGGGACTATTCGACATGAGCATCATCATCGTCATCCTTCGTCCTCCTGCTCATCATCATGTTCAGATGTCGAAAAACCCAGCAGCCATGATGCAATTCGCGAAAACCCCTTTGTCATGCTTCAACCAGCCAGCTCCCGGCACTAGGGTGCGTGAGACATGCTGAGCTGGAATCAGTCACTCTGAGGAAGGGACGCAACCCGGCAACCACTGCGGACAACGCTGTTGCGTCCTGGAGTTTCGCTACTTTGCACATTCGCAATGCAGAAATTCGCAGGCCAAGGCATGGATACTGAAACAGCATGTTACAGAAGGATGGGCGAGCTCAATGAAGGGTTTGAGCACACGCGACGCGATGACACAAGAAGGAGCTGTCTTGCCGAAATGACTTCGTAAGACTCAAGCAAGAATTCGAGCGGTCCGCTTCTGCACGGAGATGTGCGAGGCAGCGCCATAAACCAAGGCCCTAGGCGGCAAGGCCAGCTGAACTACATGTAGCTGTGCAGTACAATTAGGGCGTGAGCTGTGCACTACCACTAGGACGTGAAAACAGAGAGAGAGAGAGAGAGAAAGAGCGGACCACCCTGCATGAGTCCGCACCTGATTTACTTCATGCTACGGGGCACCCAATGCTCACCTCAAGGAGTCGGAGCTCCCTTGTCCTGATGCTTCAATGTCGCATTATAAAAATCTGGAACCCGCTGTTGTAATGAGCGTTCCTCCGACTTGCCTGATAAACCTTGGGAGCTGAGACGACTTGAGAAGGCCAGGAATGCTGGAGTCGAGGCCTCTGATCCATCTTGAAAGTCGTGGCAGATACCCCGCGCCGACACACCCAAAGATGTTCCAAACATCTATCATCTATATAACTGGCCTGAGCCCAGCGTGCGCGGCAAGCATCCAAGCCCGCAGTGAAGGCGACCTCTGCGGACCAAAGCAGCACTGGAGCATGTGTAGCATTGAAGCAAAATGAAACAAAGCCAGCAGCCAGCTCCTGGACCTTGCCTCATGGGCGGGATGTTCAACTCCTCGGAATGAGGATACCTGACAGATGGCCACAGTGCGTTTCAAATCATGTGAGCAATGTACCGCAGTGGTTCTATGTTTCAGGTTTGAAAAGACTTTGTCATATATCTTCCAGGATAATTCCTCAGGTAACCTCCCTTGTTTGAGTGTGTCTCATTCTTCCCTTTGCCTCGGTTTTGGCCGGGAACAACCACGCGAAGATCGAAGTCCCTCTTCGTGTCCTGCTTTTCCTGTACTCCTGTATGTCCAAAGGGCACAACAATCTCCCTGCGTCTCCCGTCTCGTCCTTGAGCTAGGGCGATGGATCGTGTGACGCACCCAGGTGCCAAGTTGTGACTTCTGCTGCCTTGCCTAAACTCAATATAGTCATGCACTTTGTAGGGCCGCGCAGATACCAGGGCTCTGAGCTGATGGTCGTTGATAGTTGCTGCTTGTCAGCCTAACGGAGCCCTTGGGGTTGCCCACATCATGCTGGCCTTCAGCTTCTGCTGCGATGCCAAGATTGCGAGCTTTCGTCTTCACAAAGGATGCCCATCACTTCCGAACGATGAGCATGTTCATATTCTTTCATTTTTGGGTTACCAGACAAGTTGTGCCCACTTCATGCAATCCACTTGCGCATTTGTTCACAACACGCATCCCCATACTAACTTGTCAGACAATGACTGGCAAGAAACCAGTAGTCGCAGTAAGCGCTGCCACTGACCAGATTTCTTGCAGGTGAGGGCGACGTAGTTCCTGGTCAACACTGCTAGTGTTAGTGATTGCTGCGCAGTGGCGGTGTGTGCGCATGTGCATGTCTTTTGTGCGCGAGTGCTCCAGAGGCCTGTACGTAGTCGTGGAGCAGGCTTACGCCACTTATGCCACACTGTCACGCTTAGTCTCACAATGCGATGCGGAGGTATGCTGTAGTTTGGCGCCAACGTTATTGCGTCTGCCTACCCCTGCAAAGCTCAGAAAGAACAAAAAAGCAACGAACAACAAATAAAGTTTTGAGAACCAAGCTGCAGGCCATGATCGTACAGGTCTACTGCTCTGCACAGCATGCTTTGAACCTCAGCTGCCCGAAGTCGGCCGAAATGATGCAGGCGACGAAAGCTGGCGTCAGCAGGTAGGGTGGACAGGATGGCGAAGGGAGTGCAAACTTGCAAGGGAACCGGGATCTCTAGGGCCTCTAGGGAATGGTGAAAGACTTCCGAAACTGATGGCTGAGGAGCCCCCTTTCAAATTCAAGAAGGACATCTACAGTGAAACTTGACATTCTTTCTTTCATCAAAACATGTATGCACGTTGTTTGCATACATTTCCTTATGTACGTACATACATACGTACATACGTACATTACCCGAGTAGCAAAAGACTCCACAGGTACTTTTACAGCCGCTCCGAGGGAATCAAAAAAGCCCACAAGACAACGGAGAGACCGGCCGGAAGTAACAGGCTGACGTCGAGGCTGCTGACTTCAAACACTCCTGGACAACTATGAGGGAGGCTGGCTCGAACGATCTCGTTGTGAGTAGCTTTCTCCAAGAACCTTTTCCCAGCTCAGACAGTTGAAGAGCAAGTGTTGAAGCCCCACGAGGAGGGAGGAGAGACGAAATACGGCGAGACAACGATGGCAAAGATAACACCTTGGGTGACTGTCCGACTGGCCATTGTTGATACCAACTGACGGATATGGGCGAGCTCTGCCCCCAGGAGAACCAGCACGGCAAGTCAACATCTCGCAAGGCTTCTTGAAGCAGTGGAAGTGAGTGGCCGGCTTGCAGTAGATCCCGGGCAAAGCCTGTGGGAGCGAGATCGCTTGAGGGTCTACAAGTAACTTGGCCTGCTTGTGATTCATGCCTTGACAGGCATGCTCAAAAACGAGCAGCTGCTGACTTAGATGGTGTGCCAGAGAAACGGCGGTTTAGGTCCGTGCCCAAAGAGCACAACGACTGCTTCAAATTGCCACGCTCCCAGGAGCAGAGCCAATGTCGGACCACAGTGAACCGAACCCCCATGCCTACAGGGATCTGGCGCGAAAGGCTTCGAGGTCAAGCCAAGATCGAGACTCTATGACTGCAGCCTTTTTTCTTCCGCACGAGTTGCTGCGTAGTTTGCTTCGTGTGAAGCCGCCGACTTGTTGGCCTTGCAGACGGAGCTCTTACGAGAGGAAGCAACTGCATCTGGGGGTCTTTCAGAAGGATGTCTTGGCCACAGCACTTTGGATAGACGGTCTCTCGAGAGAGAGTAACGATGAGTCTGCCAGGCCTCCGCAAGCATGCTGACTTCGTGTGCCAGTTTTGGGCTAGTGTCTTTGAAGTTCTCAGTTGGACCATTGGCGTTGTCGAAGCTTGAATTTCGGAGCAACAGCGCTTCTGGAATCAGGTTCCGGGCCAGCGCTGCTGGCACGAAACCAGATCGGAATCGTGGCCTCAGCAAGTTGAGGACTGCTCGACGTAGGCCCCAGCTGGCCCGAGCTGGCCGGGCAAAATAATGGCGCAGTGAACGCCCAGTTCCCACCGCAAGTTTGCGAAAGTTGCGACTCCGACCAGACCCAAGAAGCGTGCGAATTGCGGGGCAATTCGAACGCGCAATGTTCCCAAGGGCTCTCGCTGGCCCCCTGGCTTGAAAAGATCGATTTAATTGGCAAAAATGCTAACTCAGAATAACAAGAAAAAGAAGAATAACGAACAAAAAGGCCAACAGAAAACATTGGAGCAGAAGCACAACTCTGTTTCAACAACGCACACGTATTTATAAACATGGAATGTTACGTTATATATATATATATACATATATATGTATATATGCATTTTCATTTATGTACATATTTACATGTGTGTGTGTGTGTGTGTGTGTTTGTATATGTGCACATACGAAGGCAGCCGCTCAATCCGGTAATGTGTTTTCATGACACACGTTCTATTGTTGCAGTTTTTGACGGATAAAAGTGCAGACCATTCGTAAAGGATATATTGTTTTTTGATTGATTGATTGCCTATTGTCTAAACATTGACACTAGCTTAGTTCATGTACAAGAACCACAAGTTTATGCATTTTATGAATAGTACGTCTACAAAAAGACACCGAGAACAAAAAGCCTTTCAGTTGGAGCCAGTGCCCCTTCTGACAAGGTAAATTACGATAAGCTGCTAATTGGCTTGCTCGAGCTTAGCAAGACTTAATAAGGCTGGCAGCCACGCCCAAGGCTGTCTCCCAGCGAATGGCGCGTTCCTCGGGGCCATGTGGGCAGACACATCTACCATTACTCATGCCTTCAACCTCAAGGGCTGCATCCACTTTAGCACAAAACTACTGAGTAACACTGAGTAACACCAAAAAAACCAGCGGAACTTGCATTGTGAGCATGGACGCTCTGTTGGGCATATTCGTGTGACACACGAGGATGCGAAGCAAGGACTTGCGTGCCAAGAGACAAGAAACAACAACTCACCGAAATCCAGAGAACAGCTTGTCTGGTCGACGGTCGTGCAAGGTTGCGCGGGCAAACAGAGAGCTTTGAACCACATACAGGATGGTCCAACATTTTTGAAATTGCCAGTGTGCAGCAACACAACCGGATCTGCGACACTTTCATGGGGTTTGGGAGTCAAATCGTGCCCAACTTTGCTGCATTCGGGCGGCCCCCTGGACACCATCCAGGAATCTTTGCACCCGAGGAACGGACAAGTCGTGGTGAGTCTTTTGCAGAGAACGAGGCACGGAGCCCTCCCACAATTATGGCCTTGATCCTTCTTCCGCAAAGCTCAAAAGCAGAGGTCTCTCCTTTGCTTGATCCCAACCAGCACATCATCGGCCTGGCGTCATGCCTTTGGTCGTCTCACCCCCCCTTTCCAGTGAACTTCAAGGGCGCTGCCATGGCGAGTTGACACAGCCGTGGCTGCGAACCATATGAGAAACCGTCCACGACATGGTGTACCTACCCTTGAGATTGAGCGGGACATGATAGGGATCACCCATCTCCACAAGAGAAGAAAGACTTCGACCAGTTACAAAAATGGCACGTGGATGCGAAGTGCTTCAACAATGCATGCACACCCAAAGTCTGTCAAGCACGTTTGAAGAAGCAGTACACGGTCTATTCTGGTTTTATTCCTGTTTTCATCAGCTCGCCCCCCCCCCCCCCCCCCCCCCCCCCTCCCGATAGTTTGACTCTGGGAGTGTTGGGCTTGGGCCGCACGGCCGTACCACAGTCACCATCGTGCCCCATGAGCAACATACAGGAACTTTGCAAAAGCCCGGCTACATGCAAATTTTCGCAGTTGTAGGCAGGATTCCAGAGCACCCAGTGCAGCACAGTAGAGAATGCTGTCTGCCTCCACATCCTTGCAACCGCAACTTGTGGACCGTGGTGCCCTGGATATGCACGTGAAAGCTGAAGTATGGCCAATCACTTAAACTTTCACATGACAGTAGAATTTTGGCATCTCTGGCAGCACTATGCCCTACGAATTTCTTAGATCGGTCCTTATCTGCGATACTCCAAAGCGTTGCAAGTGCAGCTTGCCAATGGCTCTGTCGCGCATCGCTGGCAATGACTTTCCTGAGCCGGTCAGTTCTGTCATCGTGCGCTGCGTCACAACGAAAGCAGCTTCCCAGCCAATTGGTTAGGCATACGGAGGGCTTACACACGTGGCCACAGTCTCCATGACACCACGCAGTTGCATTGCATGCTTTGGCGGTTGACTCTATAAATACTCTATAACCTCTGGAATGTCCAGCAGCGTGCTCTGCTGGAGAACTGCCCGAGATCGTCCATTTGGAATCCTGAGCTCGAGCAGAACCAGGACTTCAGCTGCTTGTTTACTCGGCTGCACTGACTTTCAGTCTGCCCACACTGCGGGAAACCAGTGCCATCCCGGTTCTGCTCACATGTAAGGCTCCCGCGATCCTCGTGGCACACAGGACATACGCACTCATCACGCCGGCAAGAAAGTCAGTAGCTGACAAATAATGTTGCATGCAGGGTGTATGGGCAAAAGGTGTAGATCTAGCTGCATAGCTCCTGAACATCACCGCTAGGAACGCTAGGACCGTTCGTTAGGATCTGCTAGGTACGGTGATGCATGGCCTTCTTGCTCTAAATTGGCCACAACTTGAGCACACTTGAGCACCCCACCGCGAAAATAGAACACAAACATACTGGATACATGTGACCAATCAGAACTGGCAACTCTTCTCACGCGGAGACGGGCCCCTGGCCAAGAAAAGCCTGTACCATTTCCTGCGAGCTGTAGGGCGCAACAATACAGGTCCGAACGTATCCGTGATTTACCATGTGGTAGTAGCTGACGCCCCTTTTCCTTCCTTGCAGCAGCGTTTGACACTTGCCGTCCAAGGATGCTACACCATTTCAAACCTTCGCCTGCGGACAGGATGCATCGCGCGCCTGTGAGCGAAGTGGCAGCTTGCAGCGCCAGCTTTAAACGCTCCTGCTGTGCAACGAGCCACGGCCTTTGGCGGAAGTTCTGGTGCAATACCCTGCGCTGCTTTTTTTGGGTATATAACGCAAACCTCTTTGAGATTGGGTAGGGAAGGGAATCTGAGCAAAGATTCTGCATCAAACTCGCTCAGCGGGCCCTGTGTTGACCTTAGTGGCCGCCATCCGCCGTCGACGATGTCTGTGTCAGGCCAATCCTCTGGCTCTGCGCAATTGCAAAGGAGGATGAATCTCAAGCTGGGCTTACTTTCTCGTAGCTGCTTGAGAAAGCTGCGAATCCGGTGCGACGACCAGTGCTGGAGGACATCCTTCATGATGTAGAGCTCTCCATCTTGAATCAAGTCCACGTGCGACGAAAACTCCAGATGCTCGAAGTCGAACCCTTGAGCACCCCATCGTGCGCGGTTCTCGCTGATCACTGGAAGCACCACGTCATAACCCACATACTGAACGTTGAGATCATGGTAAACGTAAGGTGAGAATTGCCAATCACCGCAGCCCAAATCCACAACAGTCTTCACCGCATGCTCCTTGATGAACTTGCGTAGAAACTCAATCCTTTGCATCATTAATTTAGCAGATGCCCCGATCTACCAATGAACTGACTATTTAGGTATGTGCTCCAGAGCGTGATGCACGAGCATGACGCACAGAAGCTGGGCGCACCATGCTGCTCATAAGACTGGCCAAGCATCCACTTCAAGCAGTGTGCGGGCAAACTACCTGCTCCAGACCCCTTTCCCCAGGCGCTGGTGGCGTAAATTTTCGTAAACGTGTCTTCCAAGGTCAATCCTTGGTCAATTGGTGGCAGGGTGTTGGTTTACAGATGCAGCACACGGACCCAGATTCGAATGTAAGAGACTGAGCGGCAATTACAGTAATCAAGCTCTCTAAGCTCGGGCATGCTGGTGATCAGCATTTTGTGAAAGCAGCTCAGAAACAGGTGCTAGTCTGGAAAACGCTGCTGGTGCCCGACAAGGGTCCTTTGTACGCAAGGCCGCGGACGGCATCGTTTAGCGGATACTTCTGCGAGGACATAGCTTTTCATGCGCATGATCCCTCCTGGGCTTGCCTTGAAGCTGCTGTCTTGAAGTTGCTGTGGTTACGTTTTTTGTGCTTGAGATGCGTTATGATGCATTTAGGGTTGACTTTGGCCAGTCGCCATACTTGCAAGATGCACGAAGTCACGAAGCCTGTGGCAGCGGATGGGGCATTTCGATGGAAGGTCTTGATCGACACACCCTTGCATGGTCACGAATGGGCCTTTGGCCATTGTGGAAGCAACAGCTGACGCAAGAAGTGCCTCCAACTCTGACGAGCTCGAGCAGCTTAGTGACTGCTGCAGAAAGCCCCTGAGCAAACCCATGCTCGGCTCTCTGCTATAGACAAGTGCAGAGCTCGAAGACACACTGAGACAGCAGATATATGAGCTTCCACATGCAACAGCCGCAAGTTGTCCAATGCCCTCTGCTGCTACTGTCGAACTGTTCATGAGTTTGCACTCCAGGCAGGGGGGGGGGGGGGGGGGGCAAACGTTTGCATGTTTTGTCACGACAGCAAAAGTCTTTCCATGTCTTTCCTACTCCTCAGGCCCTACAAGCTGGGTGGGATGGAGGGATCCATGGGAGAAGAGTGCCGCTGGCCGACCTGGCATACTTCCTTTGGAGTTGAGGGGGCATCGGGTTCGCCGCTCAGCCACGATGCGTGGTGTTCGGGACTGGCGGCAGCTTTGCCGTTTGGTAGGCTTCCCTCCCTACCCCCGAACACACTAGCCGGCTGCTAACGTGGAAAAAGATTGCCTGCAGGTTGCAAACTTCCGTCCCCAAGGCACGCCTGGATGCTTTGGGTCTGCTCTGTCAGCAAGGGGCTGCTTATGAAGATCCCGGGCCGAGGCTTCGTGAAAATTGCATGTGCGAAAGCTGCGAGATGCAGCGGCCCACGAAGTCCGGCCGGGTGCCAGGCTCCATACTCCAAATGTCCGCGGCATTGGCAGTTGGAGTCATGACGTCAGTAACCGGCGTAGCCGCCTGATTCAACCGACTTATGCCACCAACTCATGTCAAAACACATCTCCAGATACGTAATCTGTAGCTGCTCATGGGACCAAGCAGGTGAAGATGCCAGCCTTGGCGTGGGTGGGCTTTGCACCTCTTCAGCAGATCATGGACTGTCACTTGGCTACTTGCGGCAGGCGGAGTGCTTTCGCATCTGACAGAGATCAAAAGCACGCGCGGTGGTATTCACGTACGGAACTCTGTACTAACCCCCTTGCCGACGAACAAACAGCCTGCTTTGGATTTAATCGCACTTTTTTTTGGGTACGGGCAGTTCTCGGAGCAGTACAAGGTTCCAAGCCTCATGCGAAGCGGATATTATTATAAAGTGCAGAGCCGCTTTAGCACTATGGCATGCTTGTGCAAGTGAGTAGTTGGTGCATCGCCATCGCCCACGCATTACTGCATGTCATAGTATAGTCCGGCAACTGTCCGGCAACTCATCATTCCACCGATTTAAACTTTGACCTTTTAAAAACACATGTCCAACAAGCATCGGCAGGCAATTCAATTCGGATGTGGGGTGCCGTATGGGAAGGCACGGCGTGAAGCCAGGAGGCCAGGATTCAAACTTAAACTCTGGCACCAGGCAAGGCTCGATCCCTACGTGCTGAGACCAAAGCTGACAGACAACATGCTCTGCTCTTAGAGCGTGCACACGCAAGCGGACCATTAAGAAGCTGAACGCTTTCGGGCACTTGCTGTCAAAGGAAGAGCCAACTAAAACATGCCAATCTGTATCCTGTGGCTTAGCTCCCGTCTGTGCCTTCGTGTCGAGCTAGGGACCACAATGTGGATCGGCCGTCCTTTTCGGGCACTTGACGAAACGAGATGGTGAGAAACCCCTAGGGATGGCTTAGCCATGTTTGACATGTCACAAAAAACCCTTAGCTGGTTTAACCTAGCAAGCCACGAAGATGAAATACCTCTCTCTCTCATGTTACTGAGAGCCTCAATGAAGCTGAAGACGCCCCGCTCAGACTCGCTGAGGCCATGCTGTGCCTCGAGCATGGAAACAATCAAGCTCTTGCAATGACACCAATGACACAGTAGTGTTGCGACTTTCTCTACGTGCTGGACTGCTAGACATGCCGCCTGACCCAATAGATCCGCGAGCCACTTTCGACTGCTCTGCTCTTCGGTGCCATTCGCTCCTGGGAGTCTGACACATGCTGCGAGCAAAAAGTATGATACGACATCATACAAGCTAACAATGGAAAACCGCCTTCCAGGCAGGATTGCAAAGCGCATAATGTGCAATGCCATGCCATGTGCAATGCCATACGATACATCAGGGGGGCCACCTGTCTCTTCCTCGACCTCGGCCTGCGTCTCCCATCAAGAATTTCACGGTTTGAACATGGCGTATTGCAGCTCGACATGCATTGCCTGTAGCCACGGCGTGGAGGGCAAATAGAAAGACCTCGGCAAACCATAGGCCGGCGCGCACCGACACGCCGTCTCAAGGGATCAAGGGCAGTCAAGGGTGTAGCGGTGCTGTCACCAGGACAAGCGAGAGCTGCAGCAACATCAGATGCTGGACCTCATCCCGCGGGTTACACAAGGCTCTTCTGGATCACGGGCTGCTGGAATTTCGTTAAGTGCACAACAAACATAAACTTAGACAAGATCAGTGCTTTCAGTCCTCTCACATTATGTGCTTGCAATCCTTGGGCGGTGGCTGTCGTGAAAACCTGGCCATGAGAACACCTGCAAGGCCAAAGATTGGACTTCGCAATCCCCCCTTTGTCCAGCTGCTTTTGCATGCCTATGCAGTCATTGCAGTCTGCAGGCCAGCCAGGATGAGCAGAATGGGCACACATGCACCAGTAGGGGTGCCAAGATGAAGCAACGTAAGGGTCTACACGTATGGCCTAATTACACTTCACAGGGAGCGTGCGCACGCGACTGTGCTCTTTAGCACGATTCGAAATTCGAAGGCTTCGCGAAGAAGACGACGATTCTGCACGACGCCCTGCCACATTTTCGCTGCGGCACCGAACAGCTCAAGCACCGAAACGTGCACGGGACTTGTGGCGCGATCTGATGATTTGGACCACCACACAATGCGCATCGCACCAAGAGCGCGGGAACTTACTATGTGAAAGCGATGAGTGCAAGAATCTGCAGACATGATGGGCCTAGGCTGACACCTATCCTGGAGAACCAATTCTGTGAATGTGGCAAGACAAACTGCGACGACCCAAAGGGCCAAAAGCCCTGCAGAGCTTTCTGCCGTGGAGTATGGGGAAGCTTCTCATAGCATTGCGGCAAAAGTTATTCTCTCTGGGCAGTGTATTGGGCCATAGTCGATCATATCCCCCCTCTTTTTGAACTTCCCTTAAAGGTTTTTTGTTAAGCAGGGATTTCACAAGTTGATGTGCGTGCGTTGTTGGCCGTAGCAGAACGTAGCAAAGGGTACTCATGTACTCAGGGGTCCCGAGGTGGTGGCCGCAAGGCGCTGAGCGAGGAGGCGAACCTTCGCAACAAAGTTGTTCTTGGCTGCATAAAGTCTACGTTCCCCTTGACCACTTGGAGGCCCGTCTCTCTGCAAGAATGTGCCAAAAGCGTCAACAGCCTCACAGCAAGACGCGAGAATCTGAGAAGCTCAGGACCAAACGCCTCCACAACCAGTTCCTGCTATCAAAGCACAACCAGCACAGCTGCTCCGGTCAACCGATGTTAGCTGACAAAATCTGACAAACCTCGAACTCTTGGAATCTGCTTGGAATCCGCTGGCAGCACAAGGCGTGCAATCAAGGCTGGGTGGCTGGAACTTCGCGCGGAAGGCAAAAGCTCACCATACTCCACCTCGGGTTGCTGAGAGTGCTTGCGGTGGCCAACTTTCCTTGCTTCCCTGTGACTTTCTCGAAATCCCTTGTTGTTGCGTCCAGCCGCAAGAATCCTGAAGCCCCTAAGCCCCAAAGCCCTACAAGAATACGCGAGGTGTGCTTTACTTTACCTGTCCGAAAACGGCAGAGGATGGATCCCACATTTGCTTCTGTCGGTTCTGCCTTGTGATTGTAACTGAGTCTCCGGCAGCACCCCCCAGCACAGGTTCCACACAGATGTTTTGTCACCTGACTTCCGCTAAGCACCCCTCCTCACGTCCCCTGTGACCCACTGCAGCAAGTGCCTGGAGGACTCGGAACACGAGGGTCGCTAACAAGCGTTCCAGCAACCTGTGACAGGTGGCATTTCCAAGCCTGGGAGGATCTGGGAGGTAAGCATGGCTGTACGGGCTGCACGCAAGTCTGTTGTGAGTCACTCTTTGTCTGGGGAGCGTTGGTTTGTCAGTATGAGATTCGGCAGTCTTGACGGGAAGCACGATTAAGGGAGCCTGGCACTTCGCAATGCGACGAATTCATGCTGCACTTGTTTGCGGTTGTGCTGCTCAAGATATCTCAAGATCACGTCTTGGCCTGGAACGTCTGGCAAGATGCTGGAATCCTGTCCGAGTGGTCCAAGCATGGTTTCCACGTGCGTGCATCTTTTCTTGGCTGAGCATACAGGCCTCATCAAGTCGACCAGCGCACGCACAGCCTGGATGTGTTGCTACTTCTATCTACTTCTCTACATTCTTCTTGAAGGGCTGGTTCTCAGGGTTCTCAGGGTTCTCAAGGCTGCGACTGAGGCAGTGGTCTCAGGCGTCAGGGCACGCATTGTCTCCTGATTGGGGACAACGTGGGGCATTGGCAGAAGTAGAATGATCAGGTTAAGGTACGCAGTAAGTGGCTCGGTTGTTGAGCAAAAGACGAAGCCTGGATGTGCAGCAGCATCGCATATGCCAGAGGCCTGAAGCAAAGTCGGCTGCCAGGAACGATCAAAAAGGTATGGTACTGGCGCTAGCAGAATACCATCCAGCTTCCAGCCGGGACACGCGAAGGCTTCCGGGCCAGCTTCTTCGGAGAAATGGTTCAGCACCTTGAGAGATCGCTGTGATGTTTTGCTGCTTTAATTTGGAAAACACAATTTCATACTCGGGCATGTTCTGCTCTCTCATTCCTCGGTGCAGCAGGCCGTCAAAGAGACCGAGAAAGGGGCTCGCCGAACACCCTCGAAGGCAAGGGACACCGTTTCCTTCTGATTTGCAAGGTCTGCAACATGTTGCAACTTGTGCTACATGATTTGCAACACGATTTGCAACATGCAGCATGTCTCTCCCACCCGACTGCGGGTTTTGACCCCACGTCCAAGTTTGCACACTGGCGTGTGCTTGTCTGCTTAACAGGAGGATTACAATCACCTGTGAACTGCCTTTGAAGCTGCAGTTGCATTCGACTTGGCTCACGACGTCCCACTGCTTCTCCGGTGTATCGCGAGAATGATGCACAATCAAGTGGTTGTCAGGCCTGGACCTCGCAGATGCAAGAATGTGTCACGATCTCTCCGCTGCCTTGACAGAGCGAACAAGCTTGTGCCCTCAATGTGCAACATGTCTGATGTCTCGGACGTACCACGGAGTCGTGCTTCACGTGCAGCTTCCTGTATCTCGGCCAAGACCTGGCAGAATGTATACAATACATAACGATTCTTCTCGCATGGCTATGCCGCATGGCCCTCGCGCAATATGTCGGTGGGGATGAAGGTGGGGATTAAGCTTGATCTCCAACGAGCATGTCACAGCATGTCGTGGTGAAGTCTAGCGATGTTGCGCCACACCATGGCCAGGAAACACCTTTGCTTGTGCTGATAAAAGTGCCCGTCTGCAGGTCAGTGCTGGAATTAGAGGATGTGCCGACGCTACCCCCTGCACCGAGCAACCCTACACCCTACACTGCCCTACACCCTTGAAGGCTACTGATCTACATGCCCTAAACCATTCTAACCCCAAAAACCCTAAGAGCGGCTCCGAGCAACAGAGCTTAGTGATAGACACGAGAGCGGGACTACCTCAGCAAATAAAAGCCTTCATGAGGATGTCCGACAAGCAGCGCGAATAGCACTCTGTTCCCACCTGACACGCATTTTGGAATCGTGCTGTCACAAAACTGGCCCGCATCGACTTCGCGCGTGCCTTGCGGCCGTGGGACAGCAGTGCTGTTGATAGGCTCTTCACCTTTTAACCATTGTTCCACCAAGGATCGCTAAGGCAAGCAATGAATGCTCACGAGTCGCGAGCTCGCAGCAAGAAATAAGAAAGGGCACACACACACACTGCTTCAACAGAAGAGTACTGGCTGCGCGCCTTCAATGGCACGCATGGAATTGCAAACGCATGCCATGCGAAATCGCCTTTTTCACCGCTCAGAAGGCTTCCGCAGCTGCGCCAGCAGCTATGAAAGCCCCCTTCATGCCCCTCTCAGCAGCAAGTTGGTTGTCATTTCGAGCAAAATAGCAATTGTATAATTAGCCTCACCTGCGCACTGCACCCGTTGTCTGAACTGCAGCAAGACCTGCAAGGGTCAGCGGCGTGGTGCAGTGCCTAAATCTGTGCAAGGGCAAGGCCGGGCTCTGGCAGCCGTGCAGTGCATCCTCGGGCCGGTTCAGGCAGCGTCTTCGCCGGCAACGTGCTGCGGGCTGTCCCCTGCACTGCTTGGAAGGTCTCCTGCGAAGACGTGTCGAGTGTTTTGTGTGTTCTTCAAATCAAAAACATCTGCTGTTGCAAATGCTAGAGCAACGTAGCGTAAACTAGAAGCTGCTTGCCGGTGGCTGGAAGCGAATGGCTGGATGTCCCTATTCAGGAAGGATAGCAGTTCTTTCCGCAACAGCTTGCTAAAAGTCGTTTCAAGCCAGCTCCTCCTTCAGGAGATTCTGCAACTGCTGAGGGAATCTTCGCGGCCGGCTCGGCAGGCTCAGGTTCGGCCGGCTCGGCCGGCTCGGGTTCGGCCGGCTCAGCCGGCTCGGCAGTCTTAGGTTTGGCCGGCTCGGCAGGCTCAGGTTGCGTCAGCTTTGTTGGGGGTGGGCTGCCTTGCGGGGCTGATGCGGGGGTCGGGCTTGCCGACACTGGCGCTTGAGTCGCTTGAGTCACTGGAGGGTCAGATTCGCCTTCTTGGCCCTGACTGCGAAGCTTGGCAGGGAGGAGGTCCTGAATTGAGCTCCCGCTGGCCTTGCGACGACCAATCTCCACGTTCCGCGTTATCAGCTTGGAAAGTTCCCATGTTCTTCGGGAATCGACTTTCCACATAAGCTTCACCAGCGTCAAGTTTGTTTGGAACATGGTAATGAAGCTTTCAAGTGCCTCCTCACTGATCTTGTGGTTCTGATTCATGAGGTTGAGTGACTTCAATCTCTCATTTGTTGCAAGGCCTTTGGCTATCGATATGGCCCCGGTGGTGGTGAGGTGATTCTGCCTTAGCAGCAGCAAGGCAACACCTATCTCTACATTGGGGGCACTCAGATCAGATAGCGCGAATAATGCCATCTGCTCAGAAAAACTCTTGGCAACAAAGTGGGGTGCACTTTGACTTGTTGAACGCTCCGGCCCTTAGCAGGGCTTAATGTGGGACCTGCTTTAATGTGGGGCCCCCCCCCCCCCCCCCCCCTTCCCTGAACAGTCGGGGCGTGGATTGGGTCCTGATTACACGGCCCCGGGGGCTTATATGATTTTAATAGGGTGGAGTTTAGATATGTTTAAAAGGGGCAGCGATGCCCGGTTATCTTTTTTAAAGGCGCGCCACGTGGAATTTTCTTACGGCGCCCGGACGGTTTGACTTTAAAGCGGACCCCTCAAACAGTCAGGGGGTCCTGAATAATTCGGCCAAATTGACTTTAAAGCGACCCCCCCTAATAAAGCAGGTCCAACATTACACGACAGGCTGCTGTGTGTTTGGGTGAACGTTGCGACCTGAGCAAACCTGGCTTATGAAGAAGGAAAAGGCCCCTGCTTGCTTATTCCTTTTTGTTCGGGTTTAGGGTTCAGTGACGGGGCAAGAGATAATTTTGTGCGCAAGAAAGTAATGGGAGAGACCCCTGCACCCATAAGCTAGCTGGCTTGAGCTTTTGGGATCTCCTGCAACTCCAACCCCGAGCCGCGCACATGGATAATTTCAGAGGGTTCCTTGTGGTTTGTGTCACTTGTGGTTACGGGCTTTTTCGAGTTAACGCTTCAGTGTGACTACTCGGCAACCTTTCCAATTAGGAACTTGGCAGGCGAGATGCTGCAAGTCTAAGTCTTCAATGCTCTGGTTCACGGCCAGAGCTGCGCCCAAAGCCTGGAACTCTGGCACTGCAAGCAAAGTGCAAGCATGATGCATGACCACTGCGTCTCACACCTCCGCCCCAGCATCGGAAATTTCGCACTCGCGCAAGACCAGCGTCCTGACATCGCCAACGTATTCAACTTCACACTGGCCTGCATGCAGCTCACAGCTAAACTGGCCCAGCCTGATGACGGTGTTCTTTTTCAGTGCCTCCGCCAGGCTTCTTGTGTTTTCCAGCGCTTTCCTGAGAAATTGCTCGCATGCACCACTTGCTACATCATGCTTCATCTCGTGCCACCAAGCCATCAGGCGTGTCAACAATTTCAGGCTGTTGCAAGTCATTTTCATATGGAGGTTTCCGAAATGAGGAGTACCTTATTGGGGTCCTTGTTACAAGGGATCCTAATATTTGGGGGTCTTTTGGGGGTCCCCTATGTTTGTAAACCCTCATATGACTCATTCCCCATTTATTCCGAGGCAGGCTCATCTGATAGGATGCGTTCTTGGTCAGATCAAGCGTTTCCATTCCTAGAGGCACGAGGCATTTGGGCTCACATGTGCTCTCACATCTTCTTGACACATCCGCTCTTGAGAACTGAAGGGTGGCAGGGGAATGGCTCTAGCGTCCTGCGTCATTGTTGGCCACACACTCGATCATCTGTGTTGCGGTTCGCTGTCCAAAGCGCATGACGGCCTGGTTTCAAGAAACCACTCACTCTACAGTTCTGTGGTATGAAGGGAATTCGTGACAGTGTCGCGTGCATGCTGACTGAGCAGCGCACGTAGAGAACCACAGCTTAAGGCTGCAGGGGAGCTCTGGGACATCAGCGAAGACTTTGAACCGAAACGTTTCGCGTCCAGTGCAAGAGGTGTGTCAGAGAAGCTGAGCGTGAAGCAGCCATTCCTGAGATGCGGGCCGCGCAGTTCCGCACCTCGGGCCTGCAACCAGTGGCCCCTCAACTTTCTGCTTCTTGTGTTGCACATAGAAACATCGGAGATAGCGAGCTGCTTGTCAAACATGAATGTTCCTCGCTCTGTTCTCCATCCGAGCTGCTATCAACAAGCACTTTTCGTTGCCGCAAGCATGATGCGTTGAATTCGCCTACTGTGAGTACAGGTTGTTTTTTTCCACGGAGGCGGCGGACGCACGTAAATTTGCCTGTTGGGAGAGAACAATCACAGCAAACATGCGCAGCCACATGTAAAAGAACCAACCAACCGAAGTGTTATACTGCCGGAGCGCATCGGTACTGCCAGCAGTGAGTATGTAGGACCGCCACATGTAAAAGTTACCGCGTGGAAGAGGCATGAGGGGAGAGCGCCCTGAGCCTGCTGTCTGAAGCAAGCGCTCGCAGCTGCATGAAGATTTGTACCTGCGAAAGGTTCCAGCTGCGACATCAGTTTGTCAGAAAGGCCAGGCTGAGATGGCGGCCCACAGTTCGGAGAAGAACTCAGAGCCATCGGCCTAGTAACAAAGCACGGGGACGAATATGACTCGCATTTGCTTTTGGGCAAAGCTAGAGGTTTGCCCTCAGCGGATTTCAATCGCAGACTTGTGCACGCTCCCTGCTGCCACTCTCGAAATTGCGTGACTGCGCGTCATCTTTGGACAGCTCAGTCGTCAAGAGCTTAGTGGCCAGGTACTTCGAACGGACCGTAAATGTCCATGGTTGGATGTACTTGTGGCTGCAAGATCTCGCTGGAAATCGCAAGGCCCTCTGTGTTCTCAAACTTGTTCAAGGCCGTCTTGATTGATTCTTGCACACGCTCAGCCTCCTTGTAACTGCCAGTGTGGTAGAAGCCTTCAAGCTGGTCCTTCCAATCCTTTCCGAGTGCGGAAATCCTTGGACAATTTGCGACTACTTTACTTTACCCCTTTCCTTTTCTTTACTTCATTCTGTTGTTACATAAACCGGACCGTAGACTCCTCAGGGTAGGTAGTGTAGGTAGATCAAATTCAATACACCATAGCTGGGGTCAAATACTCATGAAACTATCGTTCAATTAAAAGGCCATTAAAACGTAGGGGCTAGGCTAAAATATTTCGTCTTAAGAGGCTTGGACATAATATTCTGTGAAAGCAGAGAAGGTGGGCTTCCCTCTTGCCACTCTCACGCAAACACTCACCCTAAGCCCTGGACGATTTATCTTACTAACTATGTCAATGTGAGAACAAAGTTATACTACTTAGCTGGCCGGGCATATTGGTGTAGAATGCAGTACAGCTAGCTGGGACAACCGACGCGAACGACAACCTGTCAAAACGCAGTGGTCGGCTTGGCAATGGTGGGAAGCCCCTGCCATACGAGGCCCTCTCATATCCTAATCACCATCGGGTTTTGCCGTGTGGCCTCTTGAATGTCGTCAAATTCTTCAGACAACCGCGATTTTCCCAAAACTAGAGGCTGCATATGGCAACAAAAAGGAAAACTGTAAGCATGCCGAAGTTGTGAGCAGATCAAAACATTTAGCAGGAGCTCAGCTCTACCGACACAAAGCTCAAAAGTCCAAGTTTCTGCCTGAACGCCATTCCGGTACTCCCAGAGCTGAAGCTGCCTCCAGGGAGGGTCGACAGGCCAGGAAACCGTGTCCCAAAGCCGGTTCCCGTGATATTGAAGATCGTGTCTGCAATAAACTGCTGCATCGACACCTGGCGGAAACTGTGGCACGCTTCTGGCTATCAGGGGAGTTTTGATATCAGGGAGGAGAGAGATGAAGAATGTTCATGTCGACAGCATGAGTAAGCTCTCGGCCATCACGTCAGCTCCGTAGTCAATGCCCACGTTGAATCGACGGTGGCGGTCAGGAGTTGGGGCCGCTTCGCGACCACGTCCAAACGGATTCAAGCTGACCTCGGTCCTCGCAAAGCCATCAGCCAGGAACACGGGACCTCCTCGTGCTGTGCAAACGGGGCCAGATGCAATGTTCATGCCCGCGGATACAACGAGTTGTACATCGACGTGCTCGTCCGATGTAAGCGTTTTGTTGCAAAGTTCTCCCATTGCATGGTCGAGGCAAATTTCCAAGCCAATCTTCAATCCACCGATGGACAGCAAACCATTCGGAAGTTCAATGTCGCGGCCAAATCCAAGCTTTCGCAGCAGTTCCTCAGGCAGGCGTCCATAGACGCAGCCATTGGAAAGTGGATGCCTCTTGCAGAACTCATGCGATTTGCGCGGTGGTGCAGGTACCATGCGTGATCCTTCTGGGCGAGCTCGAATGAAATCAATTCCGCTGACAAAGTGCTTGAACTTCAGATAAGTCAAGTTGGTGCCCCCTATGTGAATTGGGGCAAAATTATAGTAGCTGACGTTCTCCTCCGGCCTCTGAGACATACGGACGTAGTTCTCATCAGCCGCCTGAGCCATGACCACTGTACCATCAACGATCAGCCTTAGAGGGACGATCTGAGGATGGCACGTTGCAGCACAAGAAGAGACATGCTGGGCCATGTTGGGTGGAGGAGACTGAGGAGAGTGGCATGTGCTTATTAGATGTGATGTTACACGTTTAACGTATTTGAGGCCCTCGAGGTCCCAAAATCTGCTTGGCAACCAGTGCTTGAAGCGCTCATGCGCAAACTGATGAAAGATCCAGCTGGCTGTAGCATGTGTCACATTCTCGAGGCCTGGCTTTATTCGGTATGCCCCCTGCCTGCCTCGCCAGAAGAATTCAGGGAAGAGCACAATCTTCAGAGTAGTGGGACTGCGGTCCCAATGAGCAGACGCAAATACTCTTTCGACGGCCTCTAGCAAAATTTCCATGCGCCTGGCGACATCATCACGAACTGTTGTGCTCCCCAAGTAGCACTGATCCATCTCAGTATTGAAGTCGAAACACCCGTCCACCTCTGTGCCAGGAGCTGTGAACAAGTTCATTCCCAGGTATTGAACGGCTCGGTACCTCTGCCCATCCACTAAGACCACTGGAACTGCCTCCAGAACAGCTGCTTTTGCTGCTTGTCGAGGTCCGGACAAAGATGGGTTGTGGAGTGCGAGACTCGCAGCGAGACAGCAGGTCAAGGCCAAGAGAATGACACCGCCAGTGAAAACATGGCAACGCTCAAGCAGCCGTGCCGGATGTGCAAAGGATCCTCTGGATGCTCTCCCATTCAGCTCATGAAAGGGATGCGAACCTCTCGAGCTTTCACAATCGAAGAAGCCTGGGTCTCTCGCCGCTCCGCCTGCCATCTGAGCAAGGGTACGGAGTCTACTGAGCCACAGGAAAGGACCCAAACGGCACTCGGCTCGCGTTTAGCATGGGCCAAGCTTTGCTACATCTGGCATCGACAACTTGCCGCCTTCGCATGTTCATGTCGACACATCTCCAACAACTGCAGAACACAAGACTCCGGATGCTTTTGGGTCTGTTGTTGATGCTTCGTCCACTGAAGCGGGTTTTCCAAGTCCAGACCGTTGCACTGCTGGCGCAGCAATGCAGAGCATGCGCAGCCAGGCAGGGAAAAAGGCCTCATAACTTGGCTGGGGAATGCCCCTCACAATCAATAACATGTCGAGTGGTAACTCTGTTCCTACTCTGCTTATGGGATCGAGCCTTGGAGTGATGATATGCACAGGACTCTTGTGAGAGGTGTTTGTCTGATGATCCAATCAGTGCAGGCCACACGTGTACTCCACGGATTGTCAAGCAAGCCAGCTGCATGCCGCGACTTGGGCACGCCAGCAAGCTGCTTGGAAGGATTTTGAGGCTCTTGGTATTGTTGCGGCGCTGCTAAACAAACGTGCTTCCCCTCCGAAAAAACTGAAACTCCCAGCCCAATCTCGACTGGGTCCAGCAAGAAGGTGTTTGCAGCAAATGCGGCCTGAACGGCTGCAAGTTAAGAGCCTTTCAAACACTGCCCCTATGGGGCTGCTATGGGCAGTCTCTTTCCTGCAGCCTGGCCAAAAGGGATGCCAATGGACAGTGTTCTCCAAGCACTAGTATTGCCTCCTCATTTGCCTAGCCTCGCCGCGCTGCTTCACACCACAAAATTAAAAACCCTGACATCTTCCTAGCTACTGAACTCTGTACTCCCGGTGGGAGGATGCCAGAGCACCAAATCGATACATGCTGTGTTCTTGGAAACTTGGATCTCACAACCAAGATCTCACCACGACTCACGACCGGGCGCCATAACTTAAGCAGCCTCAGCATTGGCGGCTGGCAGAGACTGAGGAGACGGCCAATTCACATGCCATGAGCTCCAGTCCTTCAACGATCCCCTCGATGCCAAAGGCAAAACCAAAAGTAAGGTTCATGTCAGCCTAAGGCGCGACCGGCGCGACCCCTGCGGCACTTGCAGCAGCGGTCTCCAATCGTTTCCCTTCTGCAGAGCTTACTCGCCAGGGCAGCTTTGCCCAAACCTGTTGGTTTTTGATTGCTGCTTCGGTCAGGTTTAAACACACTGGGGTAAGACACAACGCGCCCGAACACATGTCGTCCAGCCAAGGAACATCCTGAAAAGTCTTCCCAACGCCTGAAAGAATCGTGGGAACATGCTGCGCGCATGTCACCATGGCATTTGCAATGTTCCATAAGATACTTGTTGGAGGGCTTGGTTAAGGCGCTTCGTGGCTCTTCCTTTGTGGCGGTGGGCCTCGCTGGCCCCGTTCGCCGAGCTCCTGCAGTTCTTCAGCAAGAGCCTTGGCAGCACCTTCGTGAGAACTTGGAGGCACCATGAGGAAGACCTCCTCAGATGAACCGGGCACTTGCGACATACCAAGCGCCCTTTTCTGAACGATGTCTGCTCGAAAACTCTGCTCGATAGGTGCCAATGCAATGACGAGAGGCAGTGGCAAACCCCACCACTGCATCCTTGGGAGTCCTTGGAGGCAAGAAAGTAGCCATGGCCCACCATGCCCCCCCCCCTCCCCCGTGGGTGGCTTAAATAGGGTTTATTTGGAAGCTGAGAGTCGTGTTTTTGTGTGGTAGATACAAAGGAAAGGGCATAAGAAAGTAGCGAAAGGAGCTCCTCAATTCCCTTCCTTATCTCCTATCCTCTTTTCTTTATTCATTGCAACAGGAGAATACACGAAAAGGGCCTCCATTCCCCTCTTGTTCTTCCTTTCTTGTGTTTTTGTCATTTAAAGGGGAACAGGAGAAGAGAAGGGAAAGAGAAGGAGAGAGGAGAGATAAAAGGAACACAATTCTAATGGGAAGAGCCAAGAAAAGAATAGAAGAGAGATGAACAAAGAAGATGGAGAGACAAAACAAGGCGCAAAGAAGATGGCACTCTTCTTTATCTATCCTCTCTCCCTTCTCTCTCCCTTCCCTCTTTCTTTTCGAAACAGAAAAACTAAAAAGGAAGAACTTGAAAAGGAGAAGGGTAAGGAAAAGAGCAGAAGAGACAGGCCGAAAAGAGGGATATGATGAAGTATGGGCAAGGTCCACGCGCAAGGAGTCACCCTCTGCTTACCCTTCCACTGCTTTATCATACAAGTTCCTTTCTTGTGTTTTATTAGTTAAAAGGTAACAGAAGGAGAGAAGGGCAAGGGAAGTGAGAGAGGAGAGACAACAAGGAGGCCATTTGAATTTTCTGGAGGGGTACTGAAAAGAAGAGAAGACACAAGAAACAAGGAGACGGATAGCACTCTTCTTTATCTATCATCTCTCCCTTCCTTGTCTCTCGCTTTTCCCTCTATAATTAAAACAAATAGGTGCCCTCTCCTCTTCAGGAAGCCCCCTTGCCCTTATTTTGCTAGCTTTCTGAAACGACAAGGAAAACAACACATAGAAAGAGAGGAAAGGGAATGAAACAATAGGCAGTGGAGCTCTTCAGTGTCTTTACCTATCTCTTTTCTTCTTTTTCTTCTTCATTCAATAAGGAAAAGAAGCTTCCTTTGGTGTGATTTTGAGATTTAAAAGAGAACAAGAGAAGAGAAGGGAGAGAGAAAGGAGAGAGGAGAGATCAAAAGGAAGCAATTTTCATGGGAAGAGCAATGAAAATCATGGAAGAGAAATGAAGACAGGAGAGGGAGGTGCAAAATCAGGCAAAGAGAAGATGGTGCTCGTTTTCTTCTTTCCTCTCTTTCTTATCTTTCCCTTTCAAATAAAAACAAAAGGAAGAACAATGAACATGTAAAGGAACCCGTTTTCTTTTTCCGTTTGGGAACAAGGAAAAGAACAGAGGCGATAGGGCGAGAGGAGGGATTTGCTGCAGCATGGGGAGGGTCTACGGACAAGGAGCCAACCCCGCTCGCTTTCCCCATCCATTGGAAAAGAAAGGAACATGGCCTCCATTCCCCTCTTGTTCTTCCTTTCTTGCGCTTTTGTCATTTAAAGGGGAACAGGAGAAGAGAAGGGAGAGAGAAGGAGAGAGGAGAGACAAAAGGATTGCATTGTTAATGGGAAGAGCAAAGAAAAGAATAGAAGAGAGATGAATAGAGAAGTGGGAGAGACAAAACAAGGCGCAGAGAAGATGGCACTCTTCTTTATCTATCCTCTCTCCCTTCTCTCTCCCTTCCCTCTTTCTTTTCGAAATAAGAAAACAAAAAGGAAGAACTATGAGAAGGAGAAGGGTAAGGAAAGGAACAGAAGAGATAGGCCGAGAGGAGGGGTATGATGAAGTATGGACCGGTCCACGCGCCAGGAGTCACCCTCTGCTTACCCTTCCACTGCCTTATCACACAAGTTCCTTTCTTGTGGTTTATCAGTCAAAAGGAAACAGAAGGAGAGAAGGGAAAGAGAAGTGAGACGAGATAACAAGGATGCCATTTTGCTGGAAGCGCAACTGTATGTGGCCACAACAAGCAGGCCAGGGAGGCTCAGGCGGGGCAAGTCTCTCCCTAATTAGAAAAATCAATCTTGCTATTCACAGGTAGGCGCCCTTCTTCCTCTTCAGGAAATCGCCTTTCCCTTATTTTGCTTTTTGAAGCGAATAAGACAAACAACAGATAAGAAGAGAGGACAGGGAATGACTAGGTAAAGAGAGGAGCTCTTCAATTTCCTCCCTATCTCTTAAGTTACTTTTCCTTCTTGGGTGGGTGTCCTTTTTTCTTCCTTGAAGATGCAGAAAACTAGCAAAAAGGACACCCGATCGCCCATTTTCTTTTCAATTCCCTTCCTTATCTCCTATGCTCTTTTCCTTATTCATTGCAACAGGAGAATATAGGAAAAGGGCCTCCATTCCCCTCTTCTTCCTTTCTTGTGATTTTGTCATTTAAAGGGGAACAGGAGAAGACAAGGGAAAGAGAAGGAGAGAGCAGAGATAAAAGGAACACAATTCTAATGGGAAGAGCCAAGAAAAGAATAGAAGAGAGATGAACAAAGAAGATGGAGAGACAAAACAAGGCGCAAAGAAGATGGCACTCTTCTTTATCTATCCTCTCGCCCTTCTCTCTCCCTTCCCTCTTTCTTTTCGAAACAGAAAAACTAAAAAGGAAGAACTTGAAAAGGAGAAGGGTAAGGAAAAGAGCAGAAGAGACAGGCCGAAAAGAGGAATATGATGAACTGAAAAGAAGAGAAGACACAAGAAACAAGGAGACGGATAGCACTCTTCTTTATCTATCATCTCTCCCTTCCTTGTCTCTCGCTTTCCCCTCTATAATTAAAAAAATAGGTGCCCTCTCTCCTCTTCAGGAAGCCCCCTTGCCCTTATTTTGCTAGCTTTCTGAAACGACAAGGAAAACAACACATAGAAAGAGAGGAAAGGGAATGAAACAATAGGCAGTGGAGCTCTTCAGTGTCTTTACCTATCTCTTTTCTTGTTTTTCTTTTTCATTCAATAAGGAAAAGAAGCTTCCTTTGGTGTGATTTTGAGATTCAAAAGAGAACAAGAGAAGAGAAGGGAGAGAGAAAGGAGAGAGGAGAGATCAAAAGGAAGCAATTTTCATGGGAAAAGCAATGAAAATCATGGAGGAGAAATGAAGACAGGAGACCGGGATCCCCTTGGCACCCTGCAAAAGTCCTGCAAATACCACACAAAACGGAAAAGGGTAGGAACAACATTTGCGGGTCAAAATTTGCCGGGATCCCCTTGGCACCCTGCAAAAGTCCTGCAAATGCCACACAAAACGGAAAAGGGTAGGAACAACATTTGCGGGTCAAAATTTGCCGGGATCCCCTTGGCACCCTGCAAAAGTCCTGCAAATACCACACAAAACGGAAAAGGGTAGGAACAACATTTGCGGGTCAAAATTTGCCGGGATCCCCTTGGCACCCTGCAAAAGTCCTGCAAATACCACACAAAACGGAAAAAGGGTAGGAACAACATTTGCGGGTCAAAATTTGCCGGGATCCCCTTGGCACCCTGCAAAAGTCCTGCAAATGCCACACAAAACGGAAAAGGGTAGGAACAACATTTGCGGGTCAAAATTTGCCGGGATCCCCTTGGCACCCTGCAAAAGTCCTGCAAATACCACACAAAACGGAAAAGGGTAGGAACAACATTTGCGGGTCAAAATTTGCCGGGATCCCCTTGGCACCCTGCAAAAGTCCTGCAAATACCACACAAAACGGAAAAGGGTAGGAACAACATTTGCGGGTCAAAATTTGCCGGGATCCCCTTGGCACCCTGCAAAAGTCCTGCAAATGCCACACAAAACGGAAAAGGGTAGGAACAACATTTGCGGGTCAAAATTTGCCGGGATCCCCTTGGCACCCTGCAAAAGTCCTGCAAATGCCACACAAAACGGAAAGGGTAGGAACAACATTTGCGGGTCAAAATTTGCCGGGATCCCCTTGGCACCCTGCAAAAGTCCTGCAAATACCACACAAAACGGAAAAGGGTAGGAACAACATTTGCGGGTCAAAATTTGCCGGGATCCCCTTGGCACCCTGCAAAAGTCCTGCAAATGCCACACAAATCGGAAAATAGGAACAACATTTGCGGGTCAAATTTGCCGGGATTCCCTGGCACCCTGCAACAAGTCCTGCAATACCACACAAAAACGGGAAAAAGGGTAGGAACAACATTTGCGGGTCAAAAAACCTTGGCACCCTGCGAAGCCCTGCAAATGCCACACACAATCGGAATAGGGTAGAACAACATTTGCGGGCAAAATTTGCGGGATCCCTGGCACCCTGCAAAAGTCCTGCAAATACCACACAAAACGAAAAAGGGTAGGAACAACATTTGCGGGTCAAAATTTGCCGGGATCCCCTTGGCACACTGCAAAAGTCCTGCAAATACCACACACAACGGAAAAGGGTAGGAACAACATTTGCGGGTCGGGGTTGGGGGGTCAGGAATTAAATAATTTAAATAATTTAAATAATTTAAATGCCCCAGGGGGGGCGTCCGGGCATTTAAATTATTTAAATTTTTTAATTCCCCGGCTCGTACTTTAGTATTGGGGGGAGGCCCGCGCTCGTAATTCAGTATTGGGGGGAGGCCCGGGCTCGTAATTTAGTGTTGAGGGGGAGGCCCGGGCTCGTGATTTAGTATGGGGAATTGAAAAATTGATTTCATTTCAATGTCCAGGGGCCCGATTTGGCCAAATTTTGCCGGGCAGCCTCCGGGCAAAATTTGGCCAAATCGAGCCGCGCATTTCTCATGGCATACGAAGGGCAGCCCGATTTGGCCAAATTTTGCCCGGAGGCTGCCCGGCAAAATTTGGCCAAATCGAGCCGCGATAGTTTAAAATAATCTCGGGCCTTCAGAAAGGCGCGGCTCGATTTGGCCAAATTTTGACCGGAGGCTGCCCGGCAAAATTTGGCCAAATCGGGCCCCTGGACATTGACATGAAATCAATCTTTCAATTCCCCGATACTAAATCGGGGGGGGCCAGGCCCGACCAGGCCCCCCCCCGGAATTAAATAATTTAAATAATTTCAATCCGAAAGGGGTGTTCAGGATTTAAATTATTTAAATTATTTAATTCTGGGAGAGGGAGGGGGCCCGGTGGGCCGGGCCCCCCCCCCCTTTTCGGATTTAAATAATTTAAATAATTTAAATAATTTAAATCTGAAAGGGGGGGTTAGGATTTAAATTATGTAAATTATTAAAGACCCCCCCGGAATTAAATAATTTAAATAATTAAATAATTTAAACAATTTCATAATTAAATAATTTAATCCGCGAAGAAAGGGGGGGCAGGCCCCACCAGGCCCCCTTCCAGAATAATTGAAATAATTAAATCCGAAAGGGGTGTCAGGATTTAATTATGTAAATATTTAATTCGGGAGGGGGACGGGCCGGGGGGGCGGCCCCCCCCATGTGTCGGATTTAAATTATTTAACTTATTTAAATTATTTAAATTATTTAAATTATTTAAATTATGTAATTCCAGGGGGGGGGAATTAAATAATTTAAATCTGAAAGGGGGGGTTCGGATTTAAATTATTTAAATTATTTAATTCCCCCCACCGGAATTAAATAATTTAAATAATTTAATAATTTAAATAATGTAAATAATTTAAACTATTTAATTCCTTGCCCCAGACCCCCCAGAAACGATAATAGGGTCTATTTGGAAGTTGTCTCTTGTAAATAAGTATACGTATTGGGGGCCTTATTTCCTCTTTAAAACACGAGTCTCAGCTTCCAAATAGACCCTATTTAAGCTGCACACCCCTCCCCCCCCCCCCCCCCCCCCCCCCCAAAGTCCAAGCGTCTTGTACCGTCTCTCGTATTCTGGGCAAATCATCGGGGGACCTTCCACGGCAACGTCAGCACCTCCCAGCACCAGAATTCGAGTTAAGGTGTTTTGGGTTTAGAATGCATTTGCTTGTTTGTGCTTTTGGGGCTTTCAAGGGTTTAACATGTAAGCATTTTGTAACTTTTGGATTTGCCTTTTGGTTTAACGGCTCAGGATATACTTGAGGGACGAAGAAGAACCCCATTTGCAAACACAATGCTCGTATAACGGGTTTAGACTGAATTCAGGTTGTGAAGCAGCTCCCTCGATGGCATCAGGTTCTTCCTGGCAAGCTTGGCAAGGAATGTGGCTTGAAGAGCCTGCTCCTTTAAGCAGTTACGAGACCAATGCTAGCGGTACTTCTGGAAAACCCATGCGCCATGCGAGTATTCTGCTCACACTTCCTCTTTTCACCAGAGCCTCGGTGGTTCAAAATCCTCTGGCGGTGGCAGCTTTGGGAAGCCGATCTTCTATTATTTGTATGCGAGAGTTAGCAGTGACACCCATGCGGACCAACAATCGCGATGCTTGACATTCAAGTGGTGACCATGGTACCGTCGTTTGATGTGTCTCAGTTGCCCCCGGGCGTGCGCGGAGGGGCCAATCGGCTGAGGTAGCCTTTGAGTGAGAAGCGACAGTTGCAGGGTGACGGGACTGATGCGTGCAGCTTTGGAGGGAAGAGGTTCGGTTCGGCCAGCTTCCATCTGAATTGCATCTAAATTGGGAGGGTAAGGTTCAGCACCCAGGCGGTCTATGCCATGCCAAGGTTGTTGAGGGCTTCAGGTGCGGCCTCCACAAGCAACTTTTCATCGCGATGACTTTGGGGCGGTGGCTTTTCCAGTTCTCCCATGGGAGAACGGGGTTAAAGTTAAAGTTAAAAAGTTCTCAGATCAACATTATCGATGTCCAAGTGAATCTGCTATAAGGAAAATGGCAAAACAGTCGTGGAAGGCTCTGAAACCCTGCTGTGGGTGCCTTGCTTTCTCAGCAGTGCTGCCTCCGTGAAGTCGATCCTCGGAGATTCTGTCGTTTAGTTTGTCCGAGCGAATTACATGGCACCGAGTAATCTCTAGCTAGCAGTAAAGCAGAGGCAAGCTATTTCGGACAGCAACCTCAGCAAGCTGCCGCGATGTCATATGCCATTGTGCGTTCGAGCATCCACAGCATATCATTGCTGGAGGGCGACTCAAGCACCTTCAGGTTTCGTGAATTGACAGGGCACGCGGAAGACGGTCCAAGTAGCAGCTTAACAGCAAATGGCTTCTCAAGGGAGAAGAGGGCGGTCGACCTGGACGTCAACACCGGCCACACCAGCCTCCAACACACGTACCTGTAGTGCTTTTCAGTTAGACTAAACCCAAACAACTGTTTTGGTGGTCCGGTCAGTGCTTACAGCAGAGACAATCCAAACAAACACAGCAAAGTGGCGGCAGTGGCCATAAATTTTTCCATACGTTCCTCCTGTCAGGTGGCACTACTGATATGCCTGACAAAAAGCTCTCCAAATCTCGGAGCACCGGCCTCCTGAGACTCCAGAAGTTTTGGATTTCCACAGCCTGTCTTCACCGAGATGTTGCGCCCTGGCCTGGAAGACGGAGCGTGCTCTTTGCTGTGACTGGCAAAAAAAGGCCTTTCCGCAACGTTGAAAACGCTAAGTTAGGCTTAAGTCCAGCCCAGCGACATGCAAGGAGTCAACACCATGCCTTTGTCAAGTCAGAAGCACGCCTCTGCTCATTCCACAAATTTTTTGCAAGAACACAAGTGACCCGAGAGCAGGTCTGAGTCTAAATGGCTCGAGGAGCCCTGGCGAGGGCCAGCAGTTGTCGTTACTTCTCCAAAGCCAATGCAGCGCTCGACGTTCGGGACCTCCAAGCTGCGCCGCTTATCGCATAGGCTTGCAGACTCCATCAATCGCGATTGTGCGACGCATTTGGGACATGGAACACTCTTCTCACTTTCCTGAAAGAAGAAGCTTGATTGCGTTATCTATCCGGCATCTGGAAGGAGACCCCCACTAGAAGCCGAACAGTCGAGCCACCGGATGTGTATTATATGGTGCCGGATAACTTCCCTTATGGCGTCAACAATCAATTAGGTTCTGGTCTCCTTGTGCGACTCTGCCTCAAAGCCTCAAATAAAGTCAAGCATGTCGGCTGGGTTTTGTTCAAGTTTGAAGTCGAGACATGTGATCCATTCATGAGTTGGACAGCTAGATTTGTGTTTCTTGCGCGTGTTTCGCTTCAGACTGATGTCCTAGAGACGGCCAAGTGAACCCCGGAATCTGAGACAGAGTTGAATTCCGAAGGCTCTGGGGGGGGTGTTAAAGAGGGTTCAGGAAAACACGACTTTCCGAAAAACTCTCACTGACGAAGCACTTACCACCTCACGGCGCGAACACGTCGCTGAACCCGACACGTCTAGCGAATACATTTTGGGACGAATGGCGGGTTGGACTGCCCGATGCTGCGCGCGGCAGCCGTTCTTGCTGCCCACCTAGCCCATTACACAAAGTAACACAATGTGGTACAGATTATTGCTCGCCTACACCGAGGTAGAGACTCCCATGGTAGTATGCCATTCCAGGGTTCTCTCAACTCCGAGCTGTCATCGGAATTTCGCCTCGGCATTCTTACAGCGCTTCCATGCGCTTCCCGAGTTGAAGCACTCGCAGCTTAGCGAAGGATACGGGCTCAGAGCCCTTGCCTGCATGCTTCTCGGGTCCCGCGTTGCGGAGACATATTGGTGGTCTGCTAGTTTGGGAAACAAACAGACGAAGCGCATTTCTTCCAGTTGTATTCCTTTTCGAAGACTCAGCATGTCCGGCTACCAGCGGGCGTTCAAATAATTTTGGTGCTGCCTTGGCATCATTCAAGATCTGAAGGACTTTCTGTTCGTGCTCCAAGCTTCCTGAAACACTGCAGGGCCACATGCAGCCTCCCAACGTCAACTGGCAGTCCAACCGACTCATTGCTGCCAAAGTCTCGGTTGGCATAGTCGGTGTTGGTTCGA